AAGTCTTTAAATATTTTCGAACAAAATTCGCAAATAAGGTTGACACCTTCGTGTCGCAGCTGACGATGAATCTCTAACCGTTTGACTGAGAAGAACCCCAAGCTACAAGAATCACACTTAAAAGGAAAATCGCGAGTGTGTTGGCTAATTATGTGTTTGCGAAGAGTGTCTTTAATGGTCGCTTTGTAGTCACAAATATTGCACGAAAAACTGCGTTGTTTTTCGTGGACGCTATTCACGTGAATGGTTAGATGGCTAACTGTTAGAAAAGATTTGGAACATAAGTCACAGTGAAATGTTCTTTCTTTGTGGTTGCCGAGATGTTGTTGATATTTTCTCTTGGTTTCGAAGACTTTCGGGCAGGCGTAGCAAAAGTATGCGGGTTGTAACGGGTCAAAGGATGAGCACCTGAAAAAACATAAGTTAGTTTACGTTCTTTGAGTAGTACAAATAAATTGTCGACAGCTACTTTCCTTCGAATCTCAAAAATTATCTGCTAAAATATTATGATTGTAGTGGTGTAGGAGCTCCTTTTTATCCATTTATATGCGGTAGACCTAAAACTTTCAAAACCATATCAGATCTGTAATAAATGTCATTCGTTTGAATAAATGCACTTGAATTCTCGCATAATTGTATATTCAATTCCATACATCCAAGTTTCCTGGGTACCCTAATAACACCGAGTCTTATTACACAGGGTTTCTATAAATGATTATCGGGTCGGAGTAGGTCATGGAAGCGTGACGCCTATCACTTCATGTGTATTTAACTAAATGCCCAAAACCGCACGACAAAACCACCCGAATCTATATAACTAGTTGCCTAAATCCGTTATAACTTACGTTATTAAAAAATAAAACCTACAATAAAATAAACAAATTTATTGTGGTTAAATATCACAGTAAATGTTGAAAGTGTTCACCATTTTCTTCAAAGCACATGGTCTATCTCTTTTTGTTATTTCAAACTAGTGCCATCTACATACTACGGATTTTCAAAACGATCTCCAAACTCATAAAACATCGAAAAATTTATTCAAACAATGTCTTGATTTTTCATCCTAAGAGTTATAATCTTTGCACTAACCCACTAATAGTCCTAGAAAACAAGGTTTTAGGGTCACGCTGTAGATCAATACAATATGTATAAAAAAAACTATTTATTCAAAGACCAATTAAAATATTAAATGCCACCACTTGACGTTTTGGTTTTAATGAAAAAAAAAAAAAACATATGCCATGTGTTTCTCAAACTAACCACTTTATTTTTAATAACCATGAAGCCTCTTTACTACGACAATATCCACGATGGCTGTTTTTTTAACGCAAACAAAATGTACAATACAGATCCAGACATGAAGTCGTGCATTTTGGGTAAATAGCGATTTTTTCTTTGACTTTTACAAGAACTATTTTTAGCCTTTTATTAAAAACTTTTCGACATAACGTTAATAATAGAAAAGTTATGAGCATAAAAAGACGAAAAGTTGGGGATGAAAAGCTTTGAGACGAGAAAACTTGTGTGCTTTCAAACTTATAAAAAAAGGCTGGTTTATGATTGAATTGAGTAGTTGTGCGGCTTGAAAAGGTAGAACGATAATTAAGAAAAAACTTAAGCAATAAATTAATTCGCATTCAGTTAGATAAAGGGAAAAATAGTCTAAAATTATTTTTAGACAGACTTCCTTGCACCTGAAAACAAATTCAAACAAATGGTTAAAACACGAGGTAAATATTGCAAAAACATTTCTGTGCAATAATTGTGATTAAAAACAAGGCATATTCATAACCTACATGCACAGAAGTATGGTATTCTACAAAATTTAAATAGTATTTACTAAGCAAAATATTAACCTGACATCATCAAATTGTTACTGGGAATGATCCGACAAACTTTCCGACACAAACGGCACACAGCGAGAGAAGGCGGACACACAGATGGAAACGGGAGACTTATTGTTTCGTACTCTAGGGGTCATGGACGCGTAAAAAATATTGCACAAAAAAATCTAAAGAAATATTATTTTATAAAAATTTAATAGGATGTCACCCTATATATTTTTTGACACTCTAGCAATGTGTTCTGACACACTTTAAAATATTTTTGTTCTTATCTACTACATCCAACCTTTTTTTTAATGGAGATGTTAGTAGAGCTTGTTTTTCTGAAGTCATTAATGTATCCCACTTTAATCACCCATACTCCACCAGTGCCTTTGATTCGAACGCACTCTGTTGATATGTTTATGTTTGGTCTAGCGCGGAGTACCATGACAGGAAACATCCTCGATTAACAATTGCTTCAAAAATGTTAACGCACTGATAAATCACACGGCGAGCGTAAAGCTTTGGCTGTGTTTCTAGTGAGTTTTCCCGTTTGAAAATGTTCCCAAAAATATTTCAGCAATGACAAGTATGTCATTTTCGACTCGTAAAGTGTAATATTAACAATTACACTGAAAACTTAAGAAAAATAAGCATAAAACAAGTAAATACCGTCACGAGCAAAAATTCTGGTAGTCAATGTCACTTTTTACACAGAATTAAATGGCAGACACTGACACTGACCTCCAGAATGTTAAACTGTTTATTAGAAAATTCTTTATAATATAGAATTTGTTCGTAGAACTGAAAATAAGTAAAACAGTAGCAGTAAACTAAAGAAGTATAGTAATCGACTTCATCGGGCGACTTGCCACTTTCATGCTTTCTCGACGTTTCAGTATCTCTAGACTACGAAAAACTAGCCTCCCGTTTCTGTCTGTCTGTCTGTCGTCTGGGTTGATTCCTCTTATTAGTCAGACAATCTCCAAAACTATCAGACCGATTGTTATCAAATTTTGTACGTATATTAGAAATATCATGGTAGATTGTAAAACGCTAACCACAATTTGGTCAACTATCCCCTCCATCAACAGGATGAATCATCTTAAAAATTTACAGTAGTAAATTTTATTTAAAGTTGATAAAATACTCCTGCAATTGTGATTTATGAACTAGTGTTGAATTTTCACTCAAGACAACCAGATTTTTGGAAAAAAAAATCAGAATTCTGTGACAACACTTTGCAATTTAACTGCAAAACCGAATGCTCTGAAATCTTGCAAACGTTTTAAGGTAAGTATGGTAAATCGTAAATAAAATTATCCATTTATCCCCTCCCAAAAATTTGATCACGTCATCACAAAATTTTTCCCATCTGAAATATACAAAATATTATGATTCTATACTTGTGGTTTATTAGTGCACTCACAATTTTTAAAATTAGTTATACAAGGTGAGTCAAAAATTTTCCCGAAATTTTGGGAATAGAGTACTGTTATTATTCCAAAATTTTGCAAACGAAAAACTCACTTGAAGCACACTCATCGCACGCGTCTTTAATTTATAGCGGGTTTTTTATTATTAATGTTACCCTAAAACCGCTACGTTGAGTTATAGATAATTAACTTATCCACAAAAAAAAAAACACAAAATTAAATCGAATAGGGATAAAACGGAATTTCGTTGCCCCACATTTTCAATATACTTAGCTTTTTTGGTCTGACTGTGCCAGGTTTCTGAGTTATCGCACGAAATTTGGCCACGCAACGAAGATTTATGTCCGTAAATCTTCATAAATAAACGTAAGTGGTGGAATTTTTTTATTCTTTAACCTTTATACGTTTCGAAAATGATTTTCAACAATTCATATTTGGTATTCTGTATTTTAAATTCTTGGACACTGCAGAACGATGAGTTAAAAATAATGTGAAGCAGTGTCAAAAACAGCAGTCTCATCGTTATTTTAAAAATAGATTTCATGTGTTACTAGACAACTTTTTTTGGCCATTTTATAAGCGTGCTTTAAAATATTAAACACTTCAAATTTATTTCACAAGTTCACAACTAAATTTTATATACAAGTATGTTGATATCATGTAAGTGTACGTTATCTATAACGATATCTATCTACAAGAAATTCTAAATTGGAAAAGAATCAACTTTACACTTATCTGTATATATTGTTAGGAAATACACAACTACGCCGCCCCGGTACGACGCCTATGGCCGTCGAGAACTTTCTGGACGTGCGTACGGCGTTGATGGGTGAGTCATCATTGCTGACGGTGTCGATGCGGTTCCACAAAGGCAAGTCTGGAGCGACTTACTGGAAGTCTCGATTGCGGGCGCAGAAAACTCTCGATGCGGCGTTCTGGATCCACCAAGAGGCACACATAGGTTTAAATAGAGGCCACCGTCGGAAACAACAAGCATTCAATGGAACCACGGAGTTATTCTGTACATAATCGTTGTATTGTAATTAGAGATGTACCGACTGTAGGTCTGGCCGACTAACCGACTAGCTGACTGTTCGGCTTTGCTAAAACCGGTTTATAAATACCACAGACAGTGTGTTTTTTTTTCTATTTCTCTGACTATCTTGAAAATTTGTTTTATTTTAATAAAAGGAATAACTAAAGTTCCTTTGTTTTCCAAAAAATGTATTAAATTTGTTTGGATAATTTTAACATTTAATTTTTTTGTAGTAACTCAGTACAAAACTTGAAAAATTGGAAAATCACAACGTTAAAAAACCTAAAAATTGAAAAAATTAAGAAACTAAAAACTCAAAACGAAAAATTCCAAAATTAAAAATCGAAAAATTCAAAAATGGAAAAATTCTAGCATCGTAGAATTGAAAAAGTGAAAAATTTTAAGTCATAATTATTATTATTATGCAAATCAAAAATTGAAGAAATAAAAATTGAAAATCGAGAAACTGAAAAATCTAAAGGCCAGTTTATACAATATTTTAACTGAGATTAAGTTGATCGCGCATTTAACAAGGCCATTAGCGAAGTCTGATTGGCGTAGAGTCGGTCACATGGTAGAGCTTATTTGAAATCAGAAGTACATCGAGTGGGAGGGATGAATGCGCGAAGCGCGAAAATGGGCGAAGAGTATGGACGAGTCAGTGGCGGACCATTAGTGTTGTTATTGGGGTTTGCACGTTGCTCACGTTAGTATAAGAACGTACAAAACAGGTCCAAAGAGTAAAGGAAGTTCGTTCTCGACGCCTCTGATGCTGTGAAAGTAGTGCTCATGCGCACTGAATATTGTTTCAAATACTGGTATCTGCGCTCTTTTATTGCTGTGTACTTCTGCTTTCAAATAAGCTCTAGTTTAACGCGGTGTTAAAAATTAAATCGCAATTAAATATTTAATTTAGGTTCTGTAAACAGGGCTTAATTGTTTTATACTCGTATACTATTTTAATTTTAATAAAAAAAACCGACCGATCGGCTGTTTAGCCGCCCAGTCGCCGACTGCCAGCCGACGACGAAAAACGGCCGAATAGTCGGCTTATCCGACCGGTCGGCGACTAGTCGGTACATCCCTAATTGTAATATTGTTATATTTTGCCTTTTTTTTCTTAACATACATAGCCGTCTTTCCCTATAGAAATTTACCATTTTAAAAATGTTAAGTTTCATGTTGTGAAAAAAGTCTACACATATTGAAACATAAAGGCAAAATATAAGCTTAAAACACGTTAAAAATGGTAATTTTTCTAAGGAAATATGAATTTTGCAATTAGGCTCCGCCCCTCGGCTTACGACGAATAAAAAAAAATCATCAGAATTGCACTAGGGCGGGTGGGCGGGGCTCATATTTTGCCTTTTTTTTCTTAATATACATAGCCATCTTTTCAAAACAAGAAACTTAAAACATGGTTAAAAAGGTACATTTTACAAGGAAATATGGTTTTTGCAATTATGGGGCGGGGCCTAATTGCAAAATCTATATTTCCTTATAGAAATTTTCCATTTTAAACATGTTTTAAGTCTCATGTTGTGAAAAAAAGTCTACACATATTAAAACAAAAAAGCAAAATATAAGCCCACCCACCCGCCCTTTCTCAATTGTGATGATTTTTTTTTATTCGCCGTGAACCAAGGGGGGCAGCTTAACTGCAAAATACTTAATTCTTTACAATAAATTAAAAACATGTTTTTGAATATCGTGTTGTTCAAAAAATACTGTGTATATTATTAGGAAAAGAGGCAAAATATAAACACCACCCACCCTCCCCATCTCAATTGTGATGAATTTTTTTCTTAGAAACTTAAAACACGTTAAAAATGATAAGTTTTGTAAGGAAATATGGATGTTGCAATTAGGCTCCGCCCCTAAGTCTGCCAACGAATGAAAACTTCATTACTATTTAGATCAGGGCAGGTATGGGTGCGGCTTAATCTTTGTCTATCATTTTTTCTTAATATACGTAGTATTCTTTGAATATCACGATACTCAAAAACATGTCTTACATGGTAATTTCTTGCAGAGAAATAATAAGGATTTTGCAATTAAATTCGGCCCCCTTGGTTCACGGGGAATAAAAAAAAACATCACAATTGAAACAGGGTGGGTGGGCGGGGCTTATATTTTGCCTTTTTTTCTTAATATACTTACATAGCCATCTTCCAGAACAAGAAACTTAAAACATGTTTAAATTGGTAAATTTGTATAGGGAAATATCGATTTTGCAATTACGCTCCGCCCCTCGATCTGATAACGAATGAAAAGTTCATCTCGAAAGAGATCGAGACGGAAGGCTCTTTTGGTTTCCTTTTTTGATTAATACATTTAGTTTTCTTTGTATAACATATTTCAGATGGTAATTTCTCGTAGAAAAATAAGTATTTTACAATTAAGCTCCGCTCCTTGGCTAACAACGAATAAAAAAATCATCAGAATTGCAATAGGGTGGGTGGGCGGGGCTCATACTTTGCCTTTTTTTTCTTAATATATACAACCATCTTTTCAAAACAAGAACCTTAAAACATGGTTAAAAAGGTACATTTTTGGAAGGAAATATGGATTTTTCAATTATGGGGCGCAGCGTAATTGCAAAATCGATATTTCCTTTAGTTAGTCGTGTATTTCGAAAAATTAAGAAACAAATTGTTGAGTTTTACCCACGCCAGTTTTTATTCGCTCGAGCAACGTAACAATATGATAATTCTGATGAAACTGTCGCGTAATTCTTATCAATATCCCCTTACCAAAACGAAATACTTAGCAAACCCCGACTGACAAAGATTGAAAGATTGAAACCTTAAAAACTGTGAAATTGGTTAAGATTCGTTGCGACGGTCGACCTGCTATCCCCACTTTCGTGCGAACCAATTTGACTCCTACATCAACTCTGTTATGAGATGATAATCTCGAAATAGCTGAAGTGATGCTACAGACAGACAACAGCTTCAAAGTTATTTTGACACTCCTTTAAAAAAAATAAAAATATAAAGCTAATGTGTTCAATTCTCATATTAAGTCTTCAAGTGTCAGCTTTCAGCATTCCTAAAAACTTTGAGTTGTTAAACAAAAAAAAAAAAAAAATAAGATAAATACTTTCCAAAGTCTTTCACGATATCTACAGACTACAGATGAAAACTTGTAGATAACTTTCACTTTTCAAGACTAATAGTCCATGTGAAATGAATGTTAAAATACCTACGACTAAATAGAGCGTATTTTTGTTGATATAAACTTGACAAGAATTAAAAATATACCCACTGTAAAAAGACTAAAGCAAGAATGTGGCGTGTTACGGCTACTAGTAATCTATGGTGATGCCAGTATTTGGATAAGGATACAATCATCCTGTTGCCTTTGTTTCTCTGGAACTGATCCAACAATTCAACGCGATGAGTAAGAAACCTTACAAAATCACCAGCACCACCTTCCAGAGTTTGTGGTAAGTATATATAAAATAATAACTCCGCGTTTTGATATCAATATTTATTCACAGATTGTTTACACCTACAGGAATAGCTGCAATTTTTTCTCTGGATATTATGCAACTTCTTATTTAAACGAAGCTTACGTGCCACCCTTACACTTGTGGCTTTTAAGTGCACTCTTGGAAATATAACATTTCGTGCAAATCTCACATTTATACGGCTTAACCCCAGTATGAATCCTGCAGTGTATGTTAAGGCTACCTTTTTGTGTAAAAGACTTCTCACAATAACTGCACTTAAATGGTCTTTCTTTAGTATGCACTCGGAGATGTGCTATTAGCGTGTTCTTCCCAGCAAAACCTTTCCCACAATGTTCACAAACGTGCGTCTTCTCTCCAGTATGTATCCTTTTGTGCTTCACCATGCCATTCGGTGCACTTATACACTTACCACATTCATCACAAATTAGCATTTTGTTGTTTTCTGGATTAGTGTGAACTTTCTTAATATGAGCATTTAATCTGCTTTTGTAGTCAAATGTTCTAGAGCACTCCGGGCAATCGAACGTCTTAGTGATACGCTGGTGTTTTTTCACGTGTTTTTTAAAGTAGCTCAAATCTTTGAAGATCTTGGAACAAAATTCACAAATGAAATTAACACCTTCGTGTCGCAGTTGACGGTGAATGTCTAACTGTCTACTTGAGAAGAAACCCAAGGGACAAGAATCACATTTGAAGGGAAAATCTCGAGTGTGTTGACTTATTACGTGTTTCTGAAGGCTATCCTTACTAGCGGCTGAGTAATCACAAAGATTGCAAGAGAAAGTGCGTAGTTTTTTGTGGACTCTGCTTATGTGAGAGGTTAAGTTACCAGGTGACAAAAATGACTTAGCACACAGCTCACAGTGAAATGTTCTTTCTTTGTGGAACCAGACATGTTTCCGGTATTTCTTCTTGTTTTCGAAAACTTTTGGGCATTTATGACAAGAGTAGGGTGGTTGTAATGGAGCGAATGATGAGTACCTGCAAAAATAAGTTAATTTAGACTCCTGGATTAACAAATATGTCATTAACGTGTCCAGTTTGGTATCACAGACCTCGGGGTCTCACAAATCACCAGAAGAAACTGTCATATTTTGCACCTACAACCCTGAACAATGTGTAAAAGCATGTTAAACAACTGTATTTTAAATTATTTACATACTTACATCGTACATATTTAAGTAAGAAAAATATTAGATGTAACATATATGGTTCTACAACTGCTTCTTACTTACATGTACATGTACTACATTTATCAATTATCCTATATGGAAGAAATCTATACCATAGTAAATCACTGATCGTTTTAAGTTAACATTGTTATAAGAACATATTTATGAAAATTAAAACTACACAAAATATGACGTTTACGATAATACTTAATAATATTTGGAACGACTGCAGTACACATAATCGAGAATAAAATTTGAGTCAGTCTCTAAAACTTAATACTAATACGTAAAGCGAAAGGTACTATCTAAAAAATTAATTAACAACATTAACGAAAACTACTTTATTCAACCAACTATACCTTACAATAATTTATGAAACGGTTAACTAATATGCACACCATCTCGTTAATATTTAGGTAGACTTAAACAACTTTTCATGTGCGTATCCATGACCCCTTTGGAAATAAACCCTTTTCCGCAAATCCTACAAATGTACGGTCGTTCTCCCGTGTGCGTCCGCTTATGAATCCTCAAAGGTGACCTCTGAGAAAACCCTTTCCCACAAAAGTCGCAAATATAAGGTTTCTCTCCAGTGTGTACCCTCTCATGTTCCTTCAAAAGTTCCTTCCTCGAAAAACTTTTAGTGCAAATCTCACAAGCAAACGGCTTATAACCTGTATGAATCCGTCTATGGAACTTCAACTTTTCTTTGCTCGACAAACACTTCCCACAAATATCACACAGCAACGACGACTCTACTCCAGCAACATTATGTTTGCTCATATTGTGTCTCCGCAAACCAGTAGCAGAAGTGTAGTGTTTGTTACAAACAGTGCAATCGTACTTCACTAAAGGAGTACCAGTGATGATTTCCCAGTGCTGCATGCGACGATGCGACGTCAAAAACCACGAGAACATGAAGTGTTTTCCGCAGATTTCGCACTGGAAGGGTTTCTCACCGGTGTGAAAGTATTTGTGTTCTATGGCATGTGTGCTGGTAGTGAAAGCTTTTTGGCAGATTTCGCATTTGTACTTGGTGGTGCCTTCGTGGGCTTTGATGTGCATTTCGATGTTGTACTTGAAAATGTTGCGGTAGTCGCATAAATGACAAGAGTACTTATTGTCAGAATTGTGTGCGATGGAATGAAGGGCAAAAGCCACGTTATTTTCGTAAATCTCGTCGCAAGTCTCGCAGTGTACGGCCTGCGTCGAGGAGGGTTTGATCTCCAGAGGATCTGCTTCTTTGGGAGATAAATCGTCTTGGGCTGAATCTAACATCTGTACTATCATCCCGTCGTTTTTAGTCGACTTTTTCTTAGTTAGTTTGTGCTTGTTTTTGGGCTTAGTGTGCTTTGTAATCGGAGTTATAGATATCGAAGGGCCGTAAACTAATTTCGACAACAAGGAAGTGTTCCTACAACAAAAACAATTCTTTTGAGTGTCGAATTAAAACAAAATTATAATAACACACATGTAATTACAACCATAGAAAATATACACATGTAACGATCAATTTTATTATTATTATTACATATATGATTATACAACCTGCACTCTTATATTGTTAATTACACATTTTCAAAAAAAAAATCAAGGAAAACATTCATCACAATGGGAAAATTGAGGAGGGACATGCGACACACAAAAAGTTTTCAATACCTACTTTCAACTTTAAAAATAACTTTATTCTCAAATAATATATACTTAATTTCTTAACAAAACAAATTTCGATGCTTAAATGAATAGCAGTATTTACCCTGGATTCGGTGCAAGGCCCAATATAACGCAAACCCTTCTCCTTTAGCAGATTTCTCTAAGAACAGTTCACTCACGAGCACAGCTTTAACAAATGTAAAAAAAAACAACTTAAAGTTAACAACAAATTTTATTTTCTCTTTTTTCACAAACAAATTGATCTGGAATTTGTACATAACATTATACTATATTAAAAACAATTATTTCAACTTGAAGGTAAGCGAAGAAAAATGTTGCTGCCCCGGTGGGCATCGAACCTAACGTCTCCCACTTGCCGGGCGGGTGTCTTGACCAGCCACGAGGCCGATTATCTTTCTCCGCTTACCAACGTGTTATTGTGCCGCCACAAACTTAACAGTTTATATTAAATAACTGTTTTTAAAGGAAAATTTAAATAAACAACAAAAGGAACACCATGTTCAATAATAGATAGTTAATAACTCTTAAACGATTAGCTGCTCTGCAAACACCTTGAACGGTGCCTTATGTCCAAAAGGCGACAGGACAAAAAAGGATAGGATAAATGGTTAAAATATTACAAGCTACCCTCAGGAGTGTGCGTTTAACCACAATTCAGTATGGTAACCGAGATGGCCTTGCCAATTCATTTCTAAATTTTGATTATGCATTTGGGAAACTTTGATGTGCTAGTTTTTGTCCGTGACCGTTGTAAAATTTTTCCCTTAAGTCCTGGACTTGTGAAGAGTCGCTTCGGTAGGTGAGAAGGATAAATTAGAGTAGTAAAGGTAGTTCTCGGCCCTATTTCTATCCGGCGTTGTTAGAAGGTGGTTAGAAGTTGGTTATAGGGACCGACTGGATTCTAGTAACACTAACTGAACGACTGAATCAGATGGACTAACTGTTAAGATCTAATTCCGTCTCGTAATTAAAGGAGTTTTGGTCCATGAGTGCCGGACGAGGAACACATTTCCTACGGTTTATCGCCGCCAGATCACGCATGTCATAACCAGTTAGACCAGACGTCCACGAGCGCTTTTGACCCGGGTTGTCTTATGATTTAATTGCCATTAAAATGATTTGATTGGCAGACAGTAAATTATGCCTAGAGTCTAGGCAGAAATAAGCGCGATGTGGATTGCTATTGAAATGATTTGGTTAGTGGATAGTAAACACTGCCCATATTTGGGAAGGAAGTTTGAAGAAAGAGATAGCGCGTTATGAATATGTGACGCCATGGAAAGTAATAAATCATTTTGTTGGCTAAGTTATTTGAAGATGACTCTGAATTCCAGGCTTGTGGTTCTTGCGACAAGAGGGATATGTCGCCGTAAAAAAGGACAACTTTGCGTGGGAATAGTTATTAAGGACGAAATTTCGGATCCGTCACATAACAATTTAGGTCAACAATATTGTGTCATTTTTCTATGGACTGTATCAAATCTTCTTGACATAGTAGCATGTCAAAAGACTAAAAGTAATACTTTTGCCCTTTTTTTTTGCTTTAAATTGCAACAAGTGGGACTGCCTTTTCGTCTAGAAAAATATTTCACTATTTGAGATATTTTACTTATTACAGCCAAATAGTTGTACTGAACCAATTCATCTTCAAAACTAATTAACGACAAGACTAGACTGGTATGCGTTAGCAAACCACCAGAATCTACATTATTTATGAGACCATCTATTACTCAAATAATCCTGTTATCACGCAAAGTTGTCTTTTAAGGCGACCTATCCCTCTTGCCCTAAGATCCAGAAAGTCCGGATTACATCTTCAAATAACTTAGTCATTAGAACCATTCCACGGCTCTCATATTCACGTTCCGTTCATCTCTTTGTTCAAACTTTTTCCAGGAATTCATTCGAAACAAATTCCTTACCAAACATAGGCCGAATTTACTGTCCATCAATCAGATCATTTCAACGGCAATTAAATTACAAGATGGCCCAGGTTCAACGCTCAAGAATGCCTGGTTAGACCGTTTTTTGACTTGCTGGACCTAACGGCGGCAAATCGTGGGAAACGACTTCCTCTTCTCGGTTCCATGAACCAGAATTCCTATAAATAGGAAACGATATTAGATGTTATTGAGTCCATCCGATTCAGCCCTTCGGTGGTCAGTCGTCTAAAATCTAGTTTGACCATGGTACCCAGCTTCCATCGCCGGGTAGAAGTGGTCCCGACAAAGTTTCTCAAGCCCAAGAAGAACCGTTCCGTCGACTTTTCTTCGACCTTCCACTCAGCTCCCGGATGGCTATGTCGTGTAAGTTATCACTTATCATTAACCTAAGTTATTTTGTCGACCATATGCATGATTGCGATAAAATTATGACAAATTCATTCTAACAGTCAAATTATTTTCAACTTCTGCTAAGAGTGCTTTCGAATTCCAAAAAAACGATATAATTTTAAACTTTGGGAAATGGAAATTTCGGTGCTGCCGTTTGTCTATATGCCAGGCGATGGAATTTCTCCTAATCAAGTATTCAGAAGACTCAAAAAAAAAAAAAAAGAAATTGATCAATTTAAGAAAACTAAAGTTCAAAAAATGAAGCGCTGCCCTCACTGAAATTATAGAAGATAATCCTCACGTGAGTCAACGGCAGATCACATGCAGATTAGTTCGGTTTTTAACATCCTGAAGGCAAACAGATTTCACTCATGCCATTTCAGCCCTTTTAATTCAAAATGAAGATCATTTGCACGGAACGGATCATGGTGTCGTAGAGATATCCATATAATACCCGAGATTCTAACTAGACTACGTAGAAATTCTGAACTCAGTTAGCGCTATGGAAGAAGGATAATGCCGACAGTTTGAACACTTATAGGATACTTATTTATTTATTTTACTTTATTTATATTCGTTTAAGGATGGAATAAATGACGTTCTATTTTCTTTTACTTTTGCCATTATTAGGTTCTTGACCTCTTTGTTGACACAGTGTGATTTTTGTGTTTTTGCATTTACTGTGACTGCTAATTAAAAAAAAGAGTAACAATAGATTGATCAAAGTTGCTTGTGATATGTATAATGTGTTGTCTATATGAAAGCATTCAGGCGTGAACACATAAAATAATCATCCTGTACATATAAAAAATTATAAGTAGAACTGCTACGACAACTCAACAAACCACCAAATCGGATTCACTTCTACCAACTTGTATTCAAGTCCTGCGTGCTATACTCGGGCACTGCCCTTACTTTTCTCATCCACACGGTCAACCTAGTCACCAGGCATTTCTCTACCCTCAAAGTATGCATCCCTAACGCCGGAAACTCCATCCAATACGAGTTAATAGGGTATTCTCTCGCCACTTTCCATGGATTCCTACATTCGTGTACTGCGGACTCTCAAAATACCCAACAGCCCTCTGCTATGTTATATTTTGTACATATCGCTTGTTTCTTGTAACCTATGTTTGACTGTCATTTTTTGCTCTTTTTATTTATTATGCACTGTCATTTCATAACCTTAGTTAAAAATAAGTTAATTTAACGATGTTTTGTTTAACCTTTATTTTTAGCGTGTTAATAGATTACTTATGGAGAGAACCTGCCTCGCGTTCTAATTTTACACTTCTCCCCTGCCGACATGGCCCTCCACACGTCTGAGACCTAAGGGGCAAATTTTGTGACGATCACGACAGCGATGAACAAATGTGCGTAGATTTTAGATCATGATACATAGTAAAAAAAAATATTGGAGTTTTAACTCCTTAACGCCGGAATAGGTTTTCGAGTTCGACACCAACCGAGTTCGACACCGACACCGACACCAGCCTGAACAAATGTAATCATGATGCGCTGGATCGCCGGGACTCAGTAGTGGAGGAGGATCACTGAATTTAATCGTCATTTATTCCATAAATACAATTAACGAAAACGTAATTAGTAACGGCTAAGTAAATGAGAGCGGGAATTAACAGCAGAGTGCAACGAAGCAACGTTATTCTGTTCTCAAATAAACGAAGTGCAGGCCGTAACGTAACTGCATTGAATTCCCATCCCGTACGAGCCGTACCGAGTTTGACCTAACCCGACGGCCATCCGCTGCCTATTAGTATAATTATTAAATATGATATTTCCATATGATAAATAAATAAAAAAAGTATATTTTGTAATAAACAACAATTAACAATACATGGATATGTACTTTAATTAACACAATCATCATTATTAATAATCATTTTCTCGAAAAATATATACGCATATACGTGTTTAATTTATGTAAATTGACAACGCAGAGTTAAAACTCAATCCGTGCGTCCCTAGGTCGACGCACTCTTTTTTAATTTACGATGACATCATGAATGGACGGTTTATAAATCAAGCCTAGGTCAGAAGTATTAACAAAATTTCAATGAAGTTCCGATATGAAGTTTTTAATGCAACTTATAAAACTGGTTGTCGAAATAGCTGAAAGAACATCAACTAACCATAACCTCACGGCACACTGACTTTGACAATATTACCAGTGGCGTAACTACCGGTGTTCCATATGTTCGCCGGAACACGGGCCCGCTGCTTCAAGGGGCCCGGTCCGGTCACACGAACATTTTTTTTTATTAGATTTTTTTATATTATTGCCCAAATTACATCCTGAAATAAAAAATTCGAAAATGTGCGATCATTCATTGATATTTACGAATTTTTTGCTGCAAAGAGCTGGACTTTTGGCGGCATCTCAATATCATAGACTCAATAAACTCGGGTTTTAGCGACCGGCACCGGCGGTCGAAAATGCAGGAGCATCTTTTTCTAATAAACCTGAAAAGTATGACTAATTTATGATGCAAGACAACAAAATACTTAAACTTTATCCTCAGATCTACAGTGAAACTTCATGCTGTAGTAAGACGTGAAAAAAAATTCAGTTTCAGTTGTGTTTTATGAAAACTTTCGTATTTTTAAAACTATTTTAATCTTGTACTTGTAGTGCTTTTTTGGAATAATAAAATATATCTGATGTATGTTACAACTATTTTTTAAGTAGAAAAAAAACTGGACTGGGAAATTATTACAGAATGACCTACCTGCACTAGTTTCACTGAAATTATCACAGCATGTTTCACTTTTCTTACAATACCTCTTTCGTTGGCTTCAGCGGAAAGATCTTTTTCAAAATTAAAAATGCCAAAAATTTTTTTAAGAAACACAATGGGCCAATGCAGGTTATCTTCACTGAATCTCTCAATTGGAAATCAAATTGCCAGAGGCTTAGATGTGTCAAATTTTGTATCAACTTGTGTCCATTGAAAAGCAAGAAGAAAACAATTTTGAGATAAAAAAAAAAGGGAATTTTTATCTATCCTTCTAGTCTTACTTACATTATAAAGCTGAAGAGTTTGTTTGGTTGAACGCGCTAATCTCAGAAACTACTGGTTCGAATTCAAAAAATCTTTGTGTGTTGGATAGTCCATTTATCGAGGAAGGTTATAGGGTATATAGCATCACGTTATGATCAATAGGAACGGAGCAGCAATGAAAAATATCGGAAAAACGGGAAAATTATTCCTCCTTTGACAGCTTCCGTTGCTTACGCTGCTTAACCTTCAAACTACCGGGTGGGAAAAATTACACATCGTTTCAGGTGGGGTCCGTTTGGACCCCATGGCCTTATTTAGCCAAAATTAAAGAATTAATGAAAAATTTTTGCGTATCCAAATTATTTATTAACTTTAAACACAACCAAGTTAAAAAAATTACATAACAATATTAAATAAGCATTTTTCGTTACAGTTATTTGTTCCAGCATTGCTGACATTCAACAGTACGAGTAGAATGTTCTCGGCAAACAAATCTTTTGCAGGAAATGCAAAAATTTCTTGAGTTCTGTCCCTGCTACTTATATAGACAAAACAGCGTCCGCGGGACTGTACTGATATCGATTTTGATAACGTGCCATTAATAAAACAAAATTTAATTTTTTACAGTGATTACATGGTCACACTGACACCGATACTGACACCTGCAAGTCTGTATCAAAACTGCAAAACCGTCTATAAACTAGTAAAGAATAAAACAATGGATTTTGTAAGACTAAATTCTCAGAATAAGACCTGCAGGTGCAATAAAATCTTCAAAATATAGACAAAAAAATGGCAACATAAAGAACCAGGTGGGGTCCATGCGGACCCCGAGAGACTAATTTTTTTTTTGTAACAGACTGTTACACCTATACAATTGATATTTTTTGAATGCATAGCAAAAGGCCTTAATCGAAGCTACTAAAAATACAACTATCGTTAAACCAGAAATAACGGAAAAAAATTGGAAAATGTATCAATAGGGTCCATTTGGACCCCACCCGGTAGTTTGAAGGTTAAGGTTAAAATTACATAAAAATCATGTATGATGGAATCGTTCCCTTCTAAAAGTTACAAAAAAAGTCTGCGACAGCATATGTCTATCTTTTAAGGTCGACTCACTATAACCTTTTTCATGATAATGAAATTTGTTCTAAAATAATCTAATATAAAATTCTGGTGTGACAGTGTTTGTAACCAAACTCCTCCAAAACGGCTTGACCGATTTTTACGAAATTTTTTGTGTATATTCGGTAGGTCTAGTAACCTATTTTTTCTACCCCTAAGTGATAAGGGTGGCCCACCAATTTTTTTTTTTTAATTTTTTAGAAAACATTTTTTATTTTTATTTTTTTAAGATTTGGCATCAAAAAATACATATAACCCTAAATTTTCACTCTTCTACCACCATCTTCCCTTTTTTTAATAATGATATGAGTATCTTTGGTTTCATCCACAGATGCGCAATAAGGTTGCAAGATGGCTATTGAATGTAATCATTGTCGTACGATAAATTTTTATGTATAATTTATAATTTAATTTAATTATATTTATATGTATTTATTTTCATTTAATTTTTTATTTAACTACCAAAATATTCATTAGAAATGTCAACCCAACGTTTGTCGGGTCGGCTAGTGTATTTTGTTTTTTTAATTCAGTGTTTCAGGTAGAATGATTTTAATAAAACGTAAGCCCTAATTGCAATCTACTCATACTTTACTCATTATACTCGTATTTTTAAATATTTTTATTTCGCTGTTCATTAGGGGCCCCACAGTGTTGTAGAACACAGGCCCGCAGTTTGATTGTTACGCCACTGAATATTACGTTCCTTTTTTTTGAAAGTGATAAGGTGGCAATTATTGACTAGCGTTTTATCATCTTTAGGATAATTTTAAAAGACCCTTAGAATTTCAAAAGAACTGATTGACAATATTCGCGAACAAATTTACAACACTGTTAAATATTAGTATGCTACCAGTGAAAGTAAATCTTTTAATAGTGTACGACCTGTATTACATTTGTTCTTCCTCATATGCAATGCATATATTTTACTAAGTCTTCTTAAGTGTCTATGGCGAACCGGAAATTTCTTGCTTAAAATCATCCCAATATTGCGCGAGATTTCTCTTTTGTGATCATCCTACCCTTCTTCAGTTGAATTAACGGCCCAAAATCCGATGTCTAGGATTACCCTCAAATGGTTTAGCCACCAAAAACCATTTATTACTTTCCACAGCCTCGCACCATTTTATCGCACTTATCTTTTTGTCTAGACTTGCTTCCACGAGGTAGACGAAATATATTCCATGCCAGGTAGGGGCAGAGTTTACTGTCCACCCCAAATTACTTCGCTGGCAATTAATAAGCAATGTTGACATTTTCGCCCAAAGACGACTAGTTTGACCATCTTTCAAGCGAGGTCACAACCTGGCGGTAGCAAAGCCTCTATAAATAAGACTCGATCGGCGCTCTCTTAAGTCCACAATTTTCTCGTCGTTGACTTACCCGTTCGACTGACATTGTAGTGTGAGTTACCACGAGTCTAATTAACTTTGCTTGTACGCATTATTCTGCCCTCGTATGCCGCGTTATTGACCGATCATATGTAATTAATTGAAAAGTATGCAACATTTCGACCAATATCAGGTTCACTTTTTCAGGCTGATTCGGGGCCTCCGTGCCGTACAGGAAGAGTCTGTTCCCGGTATGCTTTCCTGTTTTTCCATATCCCGACCTTAATGCCGGAAACCCATCATTACGCATGGTTAGATTAATAAACTAATCCCCTTCGTCTTCCTCTGTTTTTCGCCTTCTGCTATGGTACCTTGCAATAGTGGCCTATCAATAGGCAACCTATGGAGCGATATCGCATCATTTTCTAATTTAAATAACTTACTCATTAACAGTTCGTCGGTTTGACAGGTACGATGCCACAGATCAAAATTATAAGACCCCTTTTTTACGTACGATATTTTTTTGTTTGCGTGTAACAATATAATAACAATATAACAATTTCATACAGAGAAGTTTAACACATCAACTACAGAACAGTTCTTATGTAAAAACAAAGTATACAATTTAACAGCATAACAGTCCAATATTTTTCCAATTTTCTAACTTAGTAGTTAGCAACTAGTGACCAACTTTATCGACATCCCCATAAGCTCACCTATATCACATTAGTTTCAAGTGCGATCAAAGCGACTACATATACAATAATTACTTTGGTGTACAACTTTTCATGTGTGTGTTCAAAGAGCCTCTAGAAATAAAACCTATATTACAAAATTTACAAACATAAGGTCTTTCTCCAGAATGAATCCTCTGGTGAATTTTCAGAGGAGCCCCTTGACTGAAACACTTGCCACAATATTCACACGAGTACGGTTTTTCTCCAGTATGAGTTCTTTCATGCATCACTAAATAGTCTTTTTTAGTAAAACACTTGTTACAATGACCACAAGTGTAAGGTTTTATCCCTGTATGTACTCTGTAATGTATATCCAACTTATTCTTCTGAGTAAAACCTTTTCCGCACAAGTCACACAAATGTTTCTTTTCGCTAGGTTTTACACTAATATGTTTTTCATTAAGATGTTTCTGTAAACTTTCAGCTTTACTAAATACTTTAGAACAAAAATTACACTGATTGGGACGTGGAGTTCCTTCAATTCCTACCCTATGATAACGCATTTGGTGTGTTAGCAAGTATCTTGAGTAAGTAAAGCTCTTATTACACACTACGCAAATAAACGGACGCACCCCTAGATGTTCATTATTGTGTTCTTTAAACAAAATAGCATCGTTGAAACCCTTACCACAAATCCTACATTTGTGGTAAAATTTCCGCAAATGGACAAAATTAATATGAATCAAGAGGTTAGTGCGTTTTGGTGCCTTGTAAGTGCAGTGCGGACACCTAAACATCTTATCCTCACTATGTATAGCTAGATGAATACCATAATTATACGCTTTAGAAAATTTTTCTTGGCAGATGGTACACACAAACACCTCTTCGTGTGTTTCCATGTGTTTTTCAATCTCTTCCTTCATTTGATATTCAGCTGAACAACTATTACAAATGTAAATGTCTTGTACTTGGTCGAACTTGTAGGTGTGTTTTTCGGCGGTATCTTCAGATTTATGGTTCTTACGATGAATTCGCAAAAGACGCAGGGTTAAAAAAGTTTGATGGCATTTCTTACAATACCACACTTTATCCATTTTTTTACTTTCTTCAGATTTTTGTGGCCTCTTTTTATAAGCAATTTTATTTTTTATGCGCAAGCGCGGTCTGAGTTGGCTGAAAAAGAAAACATTATTAGACAAGACAAACCAACAGCTAAAGGATGTACTAACCTGTGTATAAACCAGTTTCTAGCTTTTAGTGTAGTGTTTTTAATAAAAACATATATAGTTAACAGAATGAAAATAACATACGTTTATTACGTTATCAATAACATACAAATCAAAGTACATCAATAAATAAATCAACCAACAATTTAATCAATAATTCTACATGTTTTCAAATGCACGTTCAACGATCCTTTAGATACAAATCCGCTATTGCAAAACTGGCATATGTAAGGCTTCTCTCCTGTATGGCTCCTAATATGAATTCTCAACGGTGCTCCCTGATTGAAGCTTTTACCACAGTGTTGACACACATAGGGTTTTTCACCAGTATGGACCCTCTCATGCATAACCAAGTAATCTCTCTTAGTGAAACTTTTACTACAAAACTGACACACGTAGGGTTTAATTCCCGTATGTACTCTGTAGTGTATCTTCATTTTATCTTTAGTACCAAAACCCTTTCCACAAATGTCACACAAGTGTTTTTTGACACGTGGCGCCCCCTTATTGGCATGACTAACAGCCAGATGTTTGCTCAACGAATCGTCTCTAACGAAAATTTTCAAACATATGGCACACTGATTTTTGAGCAGCTGCCCTACGATTCCAGCTGTATGACATCGAACTTGGTGTGTATACAGGTATCGCGAGTACACAAAACTTTTGCTGCAAACCACGCATTCGAAAGGTTTAGTACCCAAATGCTCGTTTCCATGTTCTTTGTACAAAAGAGCGTCGTTGAAACCTTTGCCGCAAGTCTGGCACCAATAATAAAATTTTTTCAAGTGGAAGAAATTGATGTGGGTTAATAGGCCAGTGCGTTTCAGAGATTTATAGTTACACAACGGACACCGGAACATTTTGTCTTCATTGTGTGAGGCCAGGTGAATACCGTAGTTGTAGGCCCGTTTGAACTTCTCTGCGCAAAACGTACACGTGAAGATTTCTTCATGAGATTTTATGTGTTCTTCGATTTCTTCTTTTTGTTGGTATTCAGCAGAGCACGTATTGCAAAAGAAGATTTCTTGAGTGGGGTCAAACTTGTATGTGTGTTTTTCCCCGTAGTCTTCTGAAGGGTGGGTTTTGCGATGGGTGCCTAATAATCGTTTGGTAGGGAAGGTTTCAGAGCACTTTTTGCAGGACCATACTCTGTTTTTGTTGATTGTGCGTTTATTGCGTTTTCGAGAAATTTCATAGTCACTGTCGTCTGTACTATTTAGTTCGGGAGAATACGGTTCATCCTTTACGCGTTTATTCCTTCTCCAGCAACTGAAAAAAGAACAGTGTTAAAAAGGTAGTGGAGAATCAAAAGAAATACTAACCTGCGGGTGGATTGTACTACAAGCTAAATAGACTTGCACTCTTATGTTGGTATCACTGACTAGTGACAGTTTGTAGACACAAATAAATCACCTAATTCAACTAAGTGGGGTAAGGTTACTTTGTACAGTATCAACAGTCAGTGAGGCCAATCTAAGAACTTTCCCTTAGTAGCTGAATAGTAAAAATTTCACAAAATAGACTAGAGTACAGTAGGTATTCAAAATAAAACGGATCTTACACCTACCTCCACTGCGAGATAAAGATGAATTAATCAATTCTGTAACGTTTATTACCATAGAACACCGATAATACAAAAAATGTGGACGCGTTTCGCCAACCACCCTGGCATTAACTAGACAATAGTAATCTTAAGTGGAATTGCAGCTAAGCTAATTTATTAGCTACCCTACATCTCCCTAACTCCACAAGAGCGTAGAAGAACGAGACTAGACTGCAATCTGAATTCATTACATGATTTTTGACCGGGCTGTTTCCGGAGAGAAAGTATTAATTAAAAATAGAAATTTAAGTTAATCTGAAAATAACATCGGAAACGATATCATTACATTCCATTAAAACACAAAAAGATATTTTATAAATATATCCACATTTTTGTATACCTAACTTAGGATCTTCTGCTATCGATAATTATCGATTAAAATATACACATAATTCTACAGAACCACTAACCGTTCGAAACAGCTCCGCTGTATTTAGATGATTTGAGTTTTTTACAGCAGACGAAATAATCCGATTAGGCACTGGATTTCAATTATGTTCGTTGGTATATTTTTCAATTATTCCAAACATAGTATCATTTATAAACAAAAATGTTTGTTTTTGTGCTAGGAAGTGAAAATGGTTTATTCTATTGAACAAGACACTTTCATTGTTATTAGAATATCTGGCCGAATACCGTCAACGGATTTGTTTGAACTGACAGTGTCGACAAAAGGAAATCTCCTGGAAGACCTTCAGTATCTGAGGAAGTTGTTGATGATTTGAGACGACCTGAGCTGAATACGCAAACATCTTTGACAAGATTTCCTCAGCAGTCAGGAGTTCCTGTTGCAACATGAAATTGAACATCTTTGAAATTTTTTAAATAATTCGGCCTTGAAGATTCAAGGTGCGTGGAAGTGGTGTGGAAAAGTTTGCGTAGGTGCAGTTCGAAAAGTTTAGTCTTCTGTGGAGAAGCCCTGAAACCACCGTAAGTACCGTCTTGGGTTTCCTACCTGTCGGCGTACCGGTTTTTGAATCGCCGCCCCCGAGCGAGAAGTCGTACCACCGTCATGGTTTCTTTTTGTCGTCACAAACCGAAACCGTCATGGCGCGATTTTCAGGTTCAAGGTCGCCGCCCCCAGGTCCAGGAGGAGCCCTTCCTGGACGAAGTCGCCGTCCAGAAAAACCGTTTTGTTTAAGATTCGCCGTAAGATTTATTGTGGCAGGGAATAAACCCGATTATTATTCAAAATATTTCCAGCCGTTTTATTTTATTTTCTTATTTTCGCGAGCACTCACCACCTGAGATCCGTGTCTCCAGCTTGAGAGCAACCCCGGCGCTCCCTCTCTCGGAACGGGAGCTGACGCCCGAGCGACTGTTGCTCCTTCACCCCCAGCGGCGTGAAGGTCGCCGCATAAGCCTAGGTCGGTCAGACGTGTTTCTTATATCAGAAGCACTAATCGGCCCAGGGATTGGAACCCAGGTACGCTGCCACCACACTTTATCGGAGAGATTCCGGACCGTCCGTCCCACTGGAATTTCGTCGCAATATGAACCATTTAGGCAACCAATTATACAGTTTGTTCTGAGTCCTTGGGCATTAGTAAAATCCAAAACTGAGAGGAGGCATGTTTCCATGACCTACTTCGACCCTACAATCATTTATAGAACCCGGTATAATGAAAAAGTGACGCTTATTCAGAGGAAAGGTAAGGAGTCTGTTGACCAACAAATTGAGGCTGGCCTTTTTCTGGTATCTTTCCTATAAATACCAAATTCTAACTTATTAATTCCTATTTCTAAAAACTAGTGTATCAAGGAAAGGTAGTTTCCTGTTCTTTTGTTCTTCGTGAATGAACTTAATGCTGATCAAAAATGGTAAAAATATCATCCACATACCTTGACCATATCCGTGGAAAATATTCAAGCTTATTGTACAAATCCTTATTAAATCGGTTCATAAAAAGATCACCCATGCTAGTGGAAAATTATGTTCTTTAATGAGATGTTGTTTCAAGCCTTTTTGAACCAAAAATTCGGCTAAATAGACTAAGGTTTGTGGTATTAAGAAGCTTGGAAAAATCGAACTGACACCAAACAAAGAGTTCAAAATTATTAAAGTCATAGACGGATGTAATGGTTTCGAAATAGAGAAGACATTTCTGCCATAATACATTTTGGCAGTTCAGCAACAAAATAACTAAATAGAAAAAGTTTTCAGAGGATTCGGTATTAAGGTTGTTTGTATATTCATCTGAACAGTCTTCAAAGTCTTCTTTGATAATCTAAAGATAAAGTAGTAAATTTATTAACTAAACGGTAAAAATTGTACTCAATAATACAGAGTGTCCTTATTTGATACGATTCCTGTAAATTATTATTTTTGAAAAATGTCCTTTGTTCCTTGGAGAAATTTGTATCGGTACTAGATAGATATATTTGATGGTAAACACATTCTTTAGTTCTAACTCCGCAACCGTGCGTTTAATGTTATGCAAATCTCCGCTTATAAGCGAGAATATCTGGCCAAATACCGTGATTTGATAATTCAAGAAACATCGTTAGAGGCTCAAATTAGAAATGTAATCAACAGATTTGTTCGAATTGGCAGTGTCGACAAAGGGAAATTCTCCTGGAAGACCTTCAATACCTGAGGAAGTTGTTAATGATTTGATACTTGAGCGGAATGTTACAGAACATTTTTGAAATTAAAAAGAAAGTGAACATTTGCCTTGAACAAAATGAACATTTTCAACAAATCGCAAAAATTTGTTTCTTTTTTCTTGTAATACAGATGCGTGTGGTATTTGTCGTGAATCCTTCCGCATTTAGTAAAGTTCATATAAAGTGAAAGGCGGCAAGTTTCCATGACCTACTTCGACCTTATAATCATTTACAGAAACCCTGTATTATTTACAATGCCAACCCATATATTAAATTTCCAAGCTCTTTGGTTTCCTCGTGGTTTGAACAAATGCAAATTTTGAGTAGACCTGTAGTGAGTAGCGAGTCCACTGAAAATACCTTATTGCTAAACGAAGCTTCATCACTGCAGATAATGTTTTCAAAAAATAATTGTACTTCTTGACTTTTTTTATTAACCACTCTGTAAATTCCTTTCATTTAGAAAAATCATCTGCATTTAGATGCTGATGCTTTCTCTATTTAAACGGACTCTTTTTTACTTTAGACTGACCTCTATTTTTAAAATTATCAGTAAGTAATTTGTTTCGAACATCTCCGATACATTTTTTTTGTTCGGGTACAATTCGTTGAACCTTTGACAAGTGCGGTTCAAGCTTTCGTTGCTTTCCCAAATAACACGATCATACGAATTCGTTATTGAAATTTTCCAGAACTTCTAATACATTATTATCGTTTTGATCTAGTACAATGGTAAAGCTTAAAAAATACGAATGATTTTTTTTTACAAATGACAAACTGACAGATCAAACACTTATTTTTCAAAACAACTAGATTTGAATTATATTATGTAGTTTTTGACTTGTTTTACCAAATAAATCTTTAATTATTGATTGACTGAAAACTATGTAATGAATTCAGATCCCGGGTCTATCCAGAACTCGTCGCTCTACACCCTTGTGGAGTCAATGACGGGATAGCTAGGATATAATCTAGTCCAGTTATAATCCCACTTCAGCTTAGTACGTATCATCTAGATAATGCCAATGTGGTTGACAAAACGCGTCGACAATTTCTGTAATTTTATATTTTCAGTGTTATAGAGTAATAAAAGTTATAGAGTCTTCGTGCACCAAGCGATGAAGAAGAAGGGCCACTAATAAACGTTTCTTACATAACACGATATATTATTTCACATTACATTTATTAACAACTTAAAAAAGCAGTCTAATCGTTAATCCGGCAAACTTTTTGATGCATATTCAGAGATCCTTTAGAAATAAACCCAATGTTGCAGAACTGGCAAATATACGGCCTTTCTCCAGTATGTCCTCTCACATGTATCCTCAACGGTGCTCCTTGATTGAAGCTCTTTCCACAATACTGACACACGTACGGCTTCTCTCCTGTATGCACCCTTTCATGCATAATCAAATAATCTCTCTTAATAAAACTCTTAGTACAGAACTTGCACACGTAGGGCTTAATCCCGGTATGAACTCTGTAGTGTATCTTCATTTTGTCATTCGTGGCAAACCCTTTCCCACAAATATCGCACAGATGTCGCTTTACTCGTGGCCCTAAACTAGTGGAATGTTTGCTAGCCATGTGTCTGTCCAAAGTGTCGCTTTTGGAAAAAACTCTCAAACAAACAGAACACTGGTTTTTCAGAAGCTGTCCGACTATACCAACAGTGTGGTAACGCAGCTGATGCAGATGGAGGTACCGAGAGTACACAAAAGACTTGGTGCAAACCACACAAACAAACGGCTTGACACCTAAATGTTCGTTTTCGTGTTCTTTGAAACGAACAGCGTCGTTGAAACCTTTACCACACGTGTTACAGTAGTAGTAGAACTTGTGGTAGTGCATTCTGTTAATGTGGGTCAAAATGCAAGTTCTGCGTGGAGTGGAATAGGAGCACATTGGACACTGGTAGTTCGTGTTTTCGTTGTGTTGTTGCACATGGCATGAGAATTTATAGGGATTGCTGAATTTCATATCACAAATTTCGCAAGAGTATGTTTCGATGTGTGTTCTCATTATGTGCTTTTCTACTTCACTTTCGTGTTGGAATTCTGCCGAGCAGGTATTGCATACGTATACTTCAAGATTTTCGTCGTATTTGTAAGTCTGAATTTCTTGTTCCTGAGCTGTGTGGACCTTTTTGTGGGTCGTAAGAGCCTTACGGGTGGGGAATTTAAGAGCGCATTTTTTACAATGCCAGGTTTTGGAGCGTTTGTAAGTTGGAGCTGGGGCTATGTAGTCTTCGTCGTTTTCGTCCTTAATGTTCTTTAGTTTGCGTAGGGCATTTAGACGTTCTTGGCGTGGAGAGACTGTTGACCTACAAATAATAGATGTTAGCATAATAATTTTTATTTTAAGTGAACAATCATAAGTATTAGTGACCTTTACTGAATAAAACACATATTTCTTCATTATTTGTTTATTGATGTAACTTACAGAAATTTGAAAAATGAAACGAGTGGGTGTTGGTGTCGAGTTTTGGGTGGTACTGCTGGTCTCATTCAATGTCAACACAATCTTTAACAAATCACTTTTTGTCACCTAGATCTCTAGACTAGATCAAATATTTGGTGCTGACGGATGATAGACCTATAGTGGAGAACTCTGCAACTGTAGTTTCACAGCCAACTGTAATTGGTTTCATATTTGACAACACGGTATGTATTTATGATCGTATTCTTTAACGCCATGTATACCTATACACATCAATGTTCAATACTGTTCTGAAACGAATCTAAAAGTCATTTCTAGATAAACTGGACCCACCTAACATCTGAAACTTATTGGACTAACTTCGTAGAGCTAGAAAATAGAACCATTCTATAAAATAAACAATAGACGAAGTACTGTGAACAAAAACAGTATTATCAGTGGGTATCTTGTAAACTTTATATACACAAAATAATAAAATAAATGTGGTAAATGCCTGACAAATCCAGATATGCGAAAACTATTTGATATACATACTGGTCGAACACAGAAATGGTGGTTTTATGATTTTTGCTTTTCCAAACCCCTCGTTTGCGAAGAAAGAGCAGCTTAACTAATACCTCTTCAGAGATAAATCGGTCCTGTTTATGAGAAACGTGCCTACCAAACACAACAAAGACCCGAAGAAGCGAATGAATCACAGTTGTAAAACCACTAAATGGCCTATATGCAGCAGATAATAATCGAGTATTTTAAGTACTTGATAGCAGGTTTAATAATAAATCTAACATATACACGTAATCAAATATCGTGTAATTGTTTAAATCTGATGTTGAAGAAGGCCACGATGCCATGAAGAAACCACGCTTCAGAAAAATATTCTGACATTCATGACAGGTGCTATAGATCTGGCATAACAGTGTGTGACGTTTACTTTTGTTTTCATATGTGCAATAATACCCAAACCGAATGTCTCCCTCGATAGTATTGAGTTCCCTGAAGATGTCATTTGTAGTAAGTTGAAGAAACTAAAACTTTCTAAATCCCCTGGGCCGGACGCAATTACTGCGTCCGTTTTGGCCCACTGTGCCGAATGTCTTTCTCTACCTCTGAGTCTCTTAATGAAACAATCATTTACTTCAGGCATCTTGCCTTTTGATTGGAAGACAGCAATCGTGAGACCTATCTTTAAGAAGGGAGATAAGTTCAATCCCTGTAATTATCGGCCCATTAGTCTGACCTCCCTCATTGTTAAAACCATGGGGTCTATAATCTACGAAACTCTCATTAAGTTCCTATTGGATCAACATCTTATTCCGGAAGAACAGCACGGTTTTCTTCCCGGCAAGTCCACAATTTCGAATCTCCTTTGCTGTCTCTCAAACTGGACCCGGCATTATGATTCTGGAGTTCCAGTTGATGTTGTTTATTTGGATTATTCCAAAGCTTTCGATAGGGTTCCCAAACGCCGGCTTTTAGCCAAACTTGAAAATCTTGGAATAGCAGGGAATCTACTTCATTGGATTGGCGCCTTTTTGTCTGATCGTACGTTTAGAGTGAAGGTTGGTGACGGCCTAAGTGAGCATAGACCGGTCCTGAGTGGTGTACCTCAAGGATCGATTTTAGGTCCACTATTATTCATAGCATACACTGCTGATTTAAAAGTTATTATTCAATCACCTTTCGCCATGTATGCTGATGATATAAAGATATACAACACCAGCAACAATCAGTCTATCCTGAAAAGCGACTTGTCAGCTATCGGCGAATGGTGCTCTGTCTGGTTATTACCTCTAAACGTATGTAAATGTTCGGTTCTATATATTGGTAAAAATAACCCGCAACATACGTATACCATTGATAATTCCAAGTTAACAAAATCGGAATCACTATCGGATTTAGGGGTGTTCTTGACTTCTTGCCTATCTTGGTCTGAGCATGTTCAGCGTGTTGTAAAAAAGGCAAATTCACTGGTGTTTCTTCTCAGTAAAGTATTTGCAAAAAGTCACTTTAGCGTCGTCAGTAAATTTTATAGGACCTATATTAGACCCATCCTCGAGTTTGCTAATAGTGTCTGGGCTCCTATATTCCAAAAGGATGTGCTGCTGCTCGAGTCAGTGCAAAGAAAAGCATCAAGAATCCCGTTTGGACGTACTCGTCCAAAATACAAGGACAGATTATCTATGATGCAGCTTCCTACGCTCTCTGATCGTCGTAAGAGAGGAGATCTAATTGTTACGTTTCAAGCCTTAAAAGCTCCTCAGTCTCCTATTAAACACCTGTTTCCATTAGCACATAACAGTAGAACTAGAGGACACTGCCTAAAACTGTCCAAAGATAAATTTCAGACCACCGTTAGACAACATTTTATCGTAAACAGAATTTTCGATTCATGGAATTCTCTACCCTCCGACATTGTAATGTGTGATTCAATTTCCAGTTTCAAACGCAAATATGACGCCTACAATGTTTAAGAAATTCCTTCTCTTCCAGATTTTATCATTCTAGCCACCAATCACTTCATTAGCGCGGGCATAACAGGCAGTGCCTCTGCCCGATCGCACCAAAATAATAATAATAATAATAATAATATGAGTTCCAAGGCAGAGTTTGGTGACATTAGATGACATCATTTATTCATTCTTCTTTTTCATTTTATTATTTTTTATAAAGTACCTATACAAATTACGAAGACGTAAGTAAAGAAAGAAAAACAAATTAGGAACAAATAGAATCAACATTTAAAAAAATTTATGATTCCGGAAAAAGCCGATGTGGCTTAATCAATTTCAACTATTTTTGTAAATTTTTTGATGAAAATAAAACATCACTATATAAGCGACTCCAACGGATCGCTCTTTGTCAAACCCTACCACGGCCCAGAGTAGAAGGGACGATCGCTATTTAAGGGCTGCTCTTCGTGAGCAAAAGGCAACTTGCTTGGCAGAGCTTACGCAATCCTATCCCCTTTCCAGCAATGGATTACACTTGCAGTGACGCAATTCCGTCTACGACGAGCGAATCACACAAATAACCGCAATTACACGCTTCCCGTGACGAGAATGCAGACTGCGTAAAGTATCCGGACTCTGACGTTCATCAATCATTTGCCAAAATCACTCTTATCTTAGCAAGTACTAGCCCCACCCACCCGCCCTGTGTTTTCTTGGAAGGTCTGTCATTTGCCAAAATTAGTCTTATCTTAGCAAGTACGAGCCCAGCCTACCTCCCCTCTTCTCATTCTAACAACTAATTTTATTTCTGTTCACTATAAGATCATTCATTTCATTCAGATCGGATAGAATCAATCACTGAAAAGGAGACAGGGTGGGTGGGCGGAGCCAATTATGTTTTTCTGTCGAGTGGGAGTGGCAATTAGTAATAGAATTTAGGATATAAAAGCAGAAAAAAAGAAGAAGAGCTAATCCGTAACTTTTTTTCTTATGCTATTTGCTAAAAAACTTATTTCTTATTTTAAGCACCTGACCTGCTCTGACTTCTCTGTTGCCCCAAATAAGAAATTTTAAACATTTCTGTGAATATATAAAAACTACAAAGTGCATTTTTGGACAGTTGTATTTTCTAAAACAAAAATTAATAACAATTTTCTTTTTTATCTACAGTGAGCTATTTTAACGAAATCTGTAGTAAAAATTGTTGTTTTTCATTTAGCGATTTTGGGAAAGCGATAAGAATTTCCTAAAAAACGAAGCCGAAAATGACTTCTGGATATCGAAATCTACAAGAAAATGTCTTCAACTACTTTTCGGATATAATTGAAAAATGGTCGAAAATGTCAAAAGTGCTCCCTAAATCAGCCATATCTTATCATATACTAGAAACCGCCCACACACCATCTATTTTCTTGGAAGGTATGTCATTTGCCTAAATCAGACTTATCTTAGCAAGTACTATTTGAAAGGTGCAGATATACTTACATAAAAATAAATTGGTTGTGCTACCCCTACAACAACCTTTACACATAAAAAACACAAAAAATATTAAAATCTATGTACCGTGTGTTTGAAAAAACAAAAAGTCCACCCCTTATTTCCTCCAGTACAGCATTGTGTGATACGTTTAACGTTTGTTTGTCTCTACGACGTTGCCAAGTTGTTCCAATTTTCTGGAAATGTTTTGGCCATGGAAGGGTCCACAAAAAATCACAATAGGATAATTTTTAAAATCTACGTTACAATATTTTTTGGAATGATAGGTAAATACAGACACACGCTTTATTATGGTATAAATAAAATTGGGTTTTAATACACAGAGTGCTGATAAAAAAATGAGTTTTTCCAAACTGAACACTCTATATTTTATTGCTGCATCTTGTTCTGTTTTTTATTCTGTTCCTTTTTTGTTAAGTATTGTGTATATTTAAAGTTTATAGTTGAGATTTTTTACTTTTTAAAAGACACGCCGACATAATTAAAAAAAAAAGAATAAAAAAACAGTGTTTTATTTGAATAAACTGAAATATCGACATTTCAAATTCTAGAGTTTATTTTTTTTATAAAAACTGCATATCAAAACATTATTTACTTCATACCTGTGTTTATCTCTCCAAAAAATAGATCTTAAAAATAACATTATTGCAATTTTTTTGAGAACCCTTGCATTGCTAAAAAAGATTTAAAAAAATTAAAATAAACAATGGCTGTAAAGTCTAGGAAGAGGCTAATAAGAATATATGTATACAAATATGTAGAGCATTTTATTAAAAAAAAACATTTTGTATAGTCGAAAATAATTTTAATTCATGCTACTCAAAGAGCAGTACAACTTTAGTCTCTGACTTTTTTTCACCTCTAATGGGACTTCGAGGATCGGGCGTTTAGTGCTCATCCTGTATACACCGAAACCTATAGCATTATGTTCGAACAATTAGTGCCTCAATAGTTATGATATCAGTATAACTTTAATCTTAAAAACAATAAATACCTACTCCGTTAATCCGAACTAATTGGGACCCGGGGAAGTTCGGATTAGCAAAATCTTTAGATTAGCATGGTCTGAGAGACTTTTTTTCGCATCAGTGATGTTGGAAAAGCTGGAACAGGAGTTGATTTTCCCCCTTAGCAATTTTTGCATTAGAAGATTTTTCGAGTCTCTTGGGTTCACCGGGCAACTCAAATTTGTTTGTAAGTATATTTCAAAACCATTCTGTATGTACCTTCACACATAAGAGTGATTAACAGGGTTCGGATTAATGGGGTTCTACTGTACACGTTTTTAAAGAATTTTGAAAGTAGTTTTTTTTCAGGTTCCGTTGATTAATTTAAAATTAAAATCAACTGTATTTTCGTTGATGCTTTAGATATAAAATGGAAAAACATACGGGGGGAATAATAACTGTTAGTGTACGTAGTGTTAATTCAGGCGTAGTTACTTAAACTGTAACTTCACCTACACTAAATGCAGGGAGGATGTCCTATGGGAGATTTGAAAGTTACCTTCACGAGTCCGGTCTCTACAAATATATTAAAAATTCAAAAATTTCTTTTTCAAAAATAACGGGCATTTCAAAATTGTCGAATTTCAAAAACTATTAGAAACACGAGTATCATAGCAATAAAATATTAAACAGCCAGAAATCATACACGAGGTAAGAACCTCAAAAAAGTCAAAAATGTCTAAAAATGTCAAATATGTAAGTCAAAACAACAAAGTAGAAAATGTCAAACGAGCAGGGGCGGCTGGTCAGGGGCGGCAGGGTCGGCCACGCCGTACCAGTCATTTTAAAATACTTAGTAAGCGTTGAAATTAGAAAATAAAAAAAGAAATAAAGTTTGAATGTACGTTAGGATAGATCATATATATTAAAAATATATTTTATTATATTGTAGGTACAAAATAAAGCATTTGTTGCTAATTTTAAATGCTGATAAATACGCTTTGCCGGCGAGATTTCGGCAAGCTGTACCCAGGAATGCATTATACTCGATGTTTCGACTTCGTAGCAGCTTACGGTTTCATCGTTCTCTTTGTCTAGTACACTGTAGTAGACAAAGACCTGGCGGAACGTATGTTGTGCCAGGTCCGGCGAAATCCTCCTTCGCCGTACCCAGCAACGCGAATTTAGTTTTTAAAACGCTTAATATTTAAGATAGCTAACCAAATTACAAAACAATAACGGCTTCGATGTTCTTCAGTGCATACTATTTTTTTTTAATAATAATTGTCGATTTAATACATTTTTCTGTGTATGAATAATAAACGAAAAAAATTACATTAAATTATCTAAAATTTTATTTTTCGTACATAACTTAGCTACAACATAAATGCGCTTTTTCTGTATTTTTAGCATCTAAGCGTTTTCAGATATTTCAGAAACGAATTTAAAGTTTTAAATCATTTTAATTTTTCAATTATTCAATTAATTTATTTGACAATTTGTCATATACATTAAAAAAAAATAAATGTAAATGAAGATAGTTAACAGTTGGTACTTTTATTATTACTTTTTTTATATTTTTTAACTCCATGTCATTATTTAATTATTATTATTTAATTGTGGATGTCCGGGGTCGGCAAGCCGTATAGCCGCCGGTCGACGCGGAACTCAGTAAAAATAATGTTTTCGGTGGTTCTCAATTAATGATAAAGCAGAACAAGTAGAATTAAGGATTAATAGTATTTGGAATCAAACTGACATTGTCAATTTCCTATAAAAAATTATTTTAACAGGTCGAAACATTTGAGATGTTTTGTACATCCTGGCACGTAAAATGTCAGTGGTTAATGAGTAGCAGCCATACATTACGAAAATATATAACACCAAGGTGTAGACTCAAAATATTTGGCCGACCCGAAATTTTGACCCACCAGCCGCCACTGCAAACGAGTAACATCAATTAAGCTCAGAATGTGTTAAACACTAAATACAGTTAAAAAAAAATGTTAAATATTCTTCAACAGTATAAAGCAATCGAAAAACTTCAAAAATGTTGAAAGTATCCAATTCTAGAAAATCTTAAACACGATCTAAACATCCAAAAGCGATTAAAATATCACTAGTTTAGTCCAAAATCGACAACAGTGGTGACTAGAGAGCGGATTTTATGAAATTTGCATATCCGTTATTTTTTGCATATATGTCTTGATATTTAATATGTGAACGAATCATGCTAATTAAAAATGAATACAGCTATAAAAAAATTGCATATTTGCATATATTTGCCTTCTGCTGCATATTTCACCAAACGGGTGCATATTTTGCATTTTTATCAATTTTTGTACTAATTTGAAAAAAAAATGATCGTCATTCTATCGGAATTTATCTAGAAAGACGAAATTTTATCAATCATGTTGCAAATATTGCCCTGAGCTTCAAATAATTAGGAAAGGTGTGGGTTTTATGGTAGTTTGAAAACACCACTGGGTGTTAAGCCTTCCTTACAGGTAAATTCGCGCCCTAATTACTTTTGGAAATACCGTTCATTCCCAAAATTTTTGTTCGTTGGTTAAGTGGTGGTCGAAGGGACGTTATACTATTATTTTTCATCGTGAGTTTGTATTGAAAGCATTTAAAGGGATACAGGTGAATCAATATGTCGAAGATAACTCAAATTAATTTATGGATTAAACCTTTTCCCGAACTTATTCTTCAAGAACGAACTGTGTTTTGTCGCGCCTGCCCTAAACCGGTAAGTATTTTTACATCTGTAGACGTAGTACGCAGTTTTTCTATTTGCAAATACTTATACTTACTTTAGAATCACCGGAAAAACTTTTTGTTAGAATATTTCGAAAAAAATAAATTGTTACCAAAATAGTAATTAAATAGTGGATTACTGCTATTTTTTAATTTGTTCTATTTAGATTTATTTTTTAGTATAAGAATATTATCTTTAAAAACGTGATTTATGTGTTAGATGTAATTAAACACTTTGCAATGTGATTTATGTATTTTTTGTAATAAACCGTAAGCTCGGGAACCCTGTTTTTGTATTTTATAAATAAATTTAGTTCGCTTTTTTTTAATTTTTGGAGCATATGCATTTGCATATCTCTGCATATATTAAGAAAGTTACTGCATATTTGCATAAATTTGGTGCATATCATATGATCATATTTCTCAAAATTTTGGTGCATATTTTCCGCTCTCTAGTGGTGACAATGTAAAAAAAGCCAACATTCCTAAATTTCTAAAACGTCGCTAAATAACTATGTAAACAACATTTAGCAATTTCATGCTAAAGGTTACCAAGTCAGTGGAACTCGCTGTTTTCAGGTTCTTATTGAAAGGAATACTTTTTGAAAGAAATTTTTTTTTGAATATTTTCGAACTATTTTTACTTATCAATTTCATATATAAAAGTTAGCCTTATCATAGCATTTCCTTGTTTCGAAGTTTTATAATCGTATTAATACACTTTACAAACAATATTTGTTTTTTTCAATTTGTTGCCCACTGTTAGCAGCGCACCTTATACTTACTCCTTTTACAGCACCATACATATTGTGACACCAAGGTCCCTGTATGTTTGGATACAAATCTAAAGAGATAAAAAATTCTTAACAAAATATTTATTGTTCATTCTCTACAATTGGCATTAACATGTTACTCCTTTTCCTAATTGTAAACTCTTTGGCTGAGTTTTGGGCACAGGCTCCACGTTTGGGTGGTGCTTCAAAACATGTTTCTTATACGACTTATACGTAGAATAAGCCTTTCCACAACTTTCACACATATTCGTCTTTTCTCCTGTATGCAACCTCATATGAACTCTCAAATTATAATTATTCGCAATCTTCTTATAACAAATCTTACACGTTACAGTCCTATCTTCTCCAATTTTATGTATAGTACTCAAATGCCTCTTCAAACTCGTTTCGAACTTAAATTTCCTCCCACACTCGCGACAGGAATAGCTCATTTCATACCCATACAATTCTTTATGGTGGTTCAACTCTCGGTGCACCTTCAAGTAATTCTTCGTAGAGAATTTCTTCGGACAGTACTCACAACTATACTTCGGAATCCCCGCATGCAACTCCATGTGAGCATCAAACCTCGTCTTTCCGAAGAACTTCCTGCTGCATATATCGCAAGTGTGAACAGTACGCCCCCCATGTTGCTGCAAGTGTCTCTTCATTGATGAACAGCTACCAGTAACGTAGTTACACTTCACACAACTGAAGTTACCAGAAGCATCATGACTTTCATTGTGGAGAATGAAAACGTAACAGTCATCAAAGCTCAAGTCGCATTTATTACATTCGTACTGCTTTTTGGTGTGTACGAGTGAATGTTTGACTAAATCGTTCTCTGATTTGAAAACGGAAGGACACTGGGTACAGTAGAATGAATGTATTCTTACGTGGTTGGCATGAGCACGTTTGTTCTTGCAAAGGGTACCACATTCCGAACAAAGAACGCTGGGTGATTCGAGGTCTGACATGTAGTAGTGCATCTCGTACATGTGGGTGGATAAGTAGTCCCAAGTTACTAAAATACCGCACTCGTGGCATACGACTCGGTCGCGTTTCTTTATTCCTGGAACTTTGTCAGAAGACGATGGCTCGGTTGTTCCAGTGGTGACAGGTTCTAAAATAGTTTGTTTCGTGGTGTGTTTAGGTTTGGCTTTAGTTGGCTTGGGTTTAACAGTGGTAAGGTCCTCCGTAGGGATGCTGACAAGCACTTCATTGTCACCGTCAATAGTAATCACTGTGATTTCTTGACAACCGTATGGTTCCGTTTTATATATCCTAAAATAAAATTTATTTATGTATTATTTTTCTATCTACATACAATGTACAAAGTTTTACTTATAAATACAAATTTTCAGTTTAAATCAAATAAATTTATGACAACGTTTAAGGTGTGAGGGTTTATTGATGCGAACTTAAAAATTACGATAGTACCACAGCCGTTACAAAAATTTTTCAAAAATCTTGGATCGCTCCTCGAAGAAAGGTATTATTTTAATCACAATCATTCCAAACACCCCCTTCAACAGACACAATTATTTTAATTTCACTATAATACATAACTGGAAACTTACCCAAACATTAATAATCCGCTACAAAAATAAAATTCTTCAATACTAATAATAACAAGTTCGATAAAATACTTTATTCAATCAACATTACAATAAATTATAAACCACTGACTAACAAACACACCTTAGTACTAATATAAAGGTATTGCAGTACAAGTTTTCATGTGCGTATCCATCACACCCTTTGAAATGTACCCTTTCCCGCAAATTCTACAAATATATGGACGTTCCCCTGTATGAGTTCGTTCGTGAATTCTTAAAGGCGATCTCTGTGTGAACCCTTTTCCACAAAATTTGCAAATGAAGGGTTTTTCACCGGTATGTACCCTCTCGTGTTCCTTCAGTTGCTCCTTGCGTGAAAAACTCTTGCCACAGATTACACAACCGAAAGGTTTATAACCAGTGTGGGTTCTCCTATGGAACTTCAGTTTTTCTTTGCTAGACAAGCATTTGCCGCAGATGTCACAGAGTACCGAAAAGTCTACTCCGCTATCATTGTGCTTGCTCATATTGTGCCTTCTTAGCCCAGTTGAGGAAGTATAATGTTTGTTGCAGATAGTACAGTCGTACTTAACCAACGGAGTACCAGTCATTATTTCCCAGTGTTGGGTGCGACGATGTGATGTCAGAAACCAAGAGAACATGAAGTGTTTTCCGCATATTTCGCACTTGAAGGGTTTCTCGCCAGTATGGAAGTACTTGTGTTCGATAGCATGAGTACTAACAGTAAAAGCTTTTTGACAAATCTCGCATTTGTACTTGGTGGTACCTTCATGAGCTTTAATGTGCATTTCGATGTGGTACTTGGAAGCATTCCGATAGTTACAAAAATGACAAGAATACTTATTGTCGGAGTTGTGTACAATCGAATGTAAAGCGAAAGCGACGCTGTTAGGGTATGTTTCATCACAAGCATCACAATGTACAGCTTCAGTGGATGGCGGTTTCGTACTAGTGGGAGACTGAGGCTCCAATTTAATGTCTGCACTTGAATCCACCATTTCTACGATTAACTCTTGGTCTTTGGTTAAAATGTTTAGTGTGTTTTTCCTGCGCTTTCTGGTTACCTTGAGCCGGTTTCCAATCGGAGTTATGGAAATAGACGGGCCACAAATTAGTTTCTTTAACAAAGATGTTTCCCTAAAACAAAAAACTAAATTAGAAGGGAACATACCGTCAAAATTCGTTCTTAAATAAACAATCAATAAGAATTCTATGAAAAATTAACTTTATTGTAAAAAAAATAACATTATTTCAATACTTGATGGTTTTTTATGTGAGCATTTCCCGAAGTGTGCCTCACAAACTTCTTGTCACAAATATGACACTGAAAAGCGTAGTCGCCTGCATGTTCTTTATGGTGAGATTCCAAACTAAATTTCTTTTTAAAACTTCGTCCACACTGTTCACAGATGAAAATTCGTTTTTCGTGAACACTCAGAACATGAGTCGTCAAAGAACTTTTGTTTTTAAAACGCTTCAAACACTGTCGACACCCAAAAGGCGTTTCGTCGTTATGCACTTTTCTGTGTCGCAGCAACTTGTTATGATTACTAAAACATTTGCCGCATATGTCACATAAACTGGCAGTGATAACTTGATGGGTGGAATTGACGTGATTAATCATTGTGGCTTTATTTTGGGTTTTGACATCGCATGATTTGCACTGAAACCCTCCGCTGGAACTTTCGTCGAAATATGGTGTATGTGCTGTACTCGAGTGGATCTCTTTTGTTTCCGGGTTGCTGAAAACTCGGCCACATTTTTCGCAACAATATTCCTGATTTTCGTGACGCGCTAAATGCACTTTCAAACTATTCCAATATGTAAAGACTTTATCACAGTATTTGCAAACATGGGGATACTTTTCCTTTACGCATGTAACATCATGGAGGGTTAATTGTAGAAAAGTTGAAAACAGATTGTTACATTTAGTGCAAATGTACTGTTTGTTTTTAATTTTGGTCGTGGTTGAATGAGGTTTCTTCAGAGCTATTCTTGCTTCAGGAACGTAATTTTTGGGATTTAGTACCACCCGGACATTATTTTTAGTTGGTCTAGAATGTTCTACTTTCTTTAGAATAATTCCCTTTGGTAGCGAAATGCCAAATCTGAAAATTTCAAAATTAGCAAGAGATAAAACTTTAGACAGGCAACTACCAAAAATAAAACAAAACGTTAACATTTAAAGGATTTATTTATAAATCAAATATATCTCAACTACTCGTCTCTTCCACTTTTTGATGTTTGTTCTTTAAGTGCAAATTCAACAGTCCTCGACTCACGAACCCAGCTAAACAAATGTCACAAACGTAGGGCCTTTCTCCACTGTGGTACCTCGTATGAATGGTCAAAGCGGTTTTCTGGGTAAACGCCTTCCCACACTCTTTGCAGACATACGGACGATCTCCTGTATGGATCCTCATATGCGCCTTCAACGTTGTCTTTAAAGCAAACCCCTTCCCACACTCCTTACACTCTATAGGTTTTGAACCCGAATGCATGATCAAGTGATCTCGTAAACTAGTCTTCGAATTCACTTTTTTCCCACACAAATCGCAAATAAATTTCTGCCCTCCATCCTTATGTATGCGTCGAAAGTGATGCTTTAAGTACTTCTCTTGCAAAAACGTCTTGTCGCAAAACTCACACTTGAACTTGTTATTTTCGTAGCCCTTTTCATGCTTTGCTATGTGGCTCTGAAGGGATGCCTTATCGTAACACCCTCTACCGCAAACGTCGCAAATATGAGAACTGGTACCGTGTTTGGCGCCCATGTGGTTGTTGTATTCTTGATTGGTGACGAAGCCGATGTCACAGATTTTGCACATTTGCACATAGTCCTTAAGGTGGCGTCGTCGGTGGGTTAGTAGAGAACCTTTTGATTTTAATTTCATGTCGCACAAGTCGCATGCAAAGAAGAGGGGGCCGTTGTGGACTCTTTTGTGGATGGTGATGTCGTATTTTCGTTTGAATTTTTTGAAGCATATGTCGCATGAGTATGGTCGTAAGTCGCTGTGGGAGATCATATGACGCTTTAGCTTGCGGTTGTTGGAGAAAGCTTTGGGACAATGGGGACAACGTTTTAGATCAGCTTCCGTTCGACGGTCTGTTGATCTTTTTCCCCGGATTCTTTTACGCAGTTTCTTGGACCTAAAAATGTTTATGTTATTCTTTATTCTCATTTAAAGTGATAACTACTTAAGTTTAGTAAAAATGACAACATACCTGAAAATGATTTATTCATCTAGACTATAAAAAGAGACATACACTTAAGTCAGCTTACGGGTATTAAGATGATTAACCTTAGAAGAAGTATTTGTCAAAAATTTTTTTTTAAGATTAAAGAGATCTAATTTACATTTAATATTTCAGATGTTTAAAGGTTAAGCGAAAGGAAAAAGTGTGGAATCAAAAGGCTTTGAATGTCAACGACGAGCAAAAATTTGCACCCTATTCTTCTGGTTCCAAAGGGCACCGCTTCAGGGACATAGAGACAAATTATCTTATCTCGATGACATAGCAAGCATTTTCGTTCGCTGCAGCTGCAAAAAAGTTAATCCAAACAGGAAGTTGTTTCTTCAGACAAATCTTTTTATTTGCTATTGATGATGTAAGGATGCAAATTTTACCGTCGTTCCGCCGTCAGCAGCCACCGATACCCGGCTTTCGACACGCCTCTCGCGAGGAGAACTGTCAGCTACGCGTGAGCTTCTGGGAAGAACAGAAACCAAAGCAGCGTGCTGTCATTTTTCCCTATTATTTTTTTGTCCGATTTGTGCCCTTTTCTTAATGTGCTCCGCTGCCAGTAGCAAGAGGGTCGGCATTCGGCGATCAGCCAGCGAGAGACCTTGACAATCGACCACAACATTTCTTCTTTTTTTTTCTTTGAAGCAGTTTCTTTTACCTTTTTTCCTGGCGGCCGAATAAAGACCCGATACTTTTAACTGCCGTATTATCAGCGATACTAACCGATTCATGGGTATCGGCGAAACCCAACCGGCCCAACCGCGACCCCCCGGTTTCGTCACAATTGAAACGAAGCAAAATTTATGAGGGAGGTAGGAAGATAAACTAGATGCTAACCTCTTTCACTCTGAAGTTAAATAGAAAAATTAGACTTTAAACACATGAGTAAGCTCAAAAAAAGTAGCGTCCAGTGAAAATTCGCCTAAACTACGTGCATGGGTTAAGTAGCAACAGCGCTCGTACAAGTATATCGACCTCACTATTCCATCGCTTGGACGTGATACAGACCCACTAATTCCAGTACACTAAATTGTAAAATCTGGAATTTCTGATTTTAAGCGATAAAAGGAATATTGGTTTATCTACATACCATTTTCAACTTTCCTCGGAACGTAAAACGGGTCTTCCTATTGCAGGCTAGGTTAGGTTAGGTCAGATTGCGTCAATGAATAGCGATGCCCTAGATATTTAGGTAAATGCTACTACTATGAAAAAAAAGTGTCAACACTGGTACTAGTACAGATACCAATAAGAGGTGTGACAATTGATAAGGATATCACTGTACCTAACATTTAAAACGTAATACACAGCGAAGATCACTGAAATGCGGTAGTGAATTGTTGTTACGACTGGCTGAGGGAAAATGAGAGAAAAACAGAAAAGAAAAGAATAGTAACAACAAAATTATTGAACATTGAAGAAAATATGCACGTTTTGCTTTAAACGAAAGATTTCGAGGGTAGACTGGAGACGAAGTGATGCAGTGTGCGTAAGTACTACGCTACCCGGAACTCACAAAGAACACCGAGTATGCATTACGCACTTTTCCTACTCTCAAAGAATAAGTCAGGTCATGCCAAGTTAAGTCAGAATATCGAAGAGACACTACACTAACACTGTCATCTGTGTATTGTGATACCAAGGACCTCAAGCTCAATGTCCAATACAGGAGAGATCACTACAAACATATAAGAGAGAAATTCGATATTTAACGAATAAATTTTAAAAATTAACTGATGCTTCGGAACCAACTTTCATAACACCACCAGACTTAACAATAATTATTTACATTGCGATAATCAGTTGGGATATTTCTAAAAGTACAATAATATATATGTATAACGTATATGTAGAAGCAAGAAGTAATCGACTGATTATTCACCTACGACCCGCTAAAAAATTATTCTCTGTTTTGATTGTGCCGCCCGGACACCGGGAAATTACCCGATGAGACCCGAAACAGTTCACTCCTTTTTTTTTATACAACATATTTTTTACATATACAGGATGTTACAATTACAAATACAATAAATATTCCTAAAAATATAACAGACGGATAAAAACTATATATCTAAATATTAAATAAGAGCATTTTTTTTAGTTCTGGAGCGTAAATTCAGTACGAAACAATAACTCTCCCGTTTCCGTCCGTCCGTCCGTCCGGATTTTTATTAGACAGATAATCGCCGACATTACTGAACCAATTGTCAAATTTTATGAGTAGAGAGCGGAAAATATGCAACAAAATTTTGAGAAATATGATCATATGATATGCATCAAATTTATGCAAATATGCAGTAACTTTCTTAATATATGCAGAGATATGCAGTTGCATATGCTCCAAAAATAAAAAAAAGCGTAATAATCGAACTAAATTTTTTTAGAAATTACAAATACAGGTTTCCCTGGCTTACATTTTATCAAAAAAAAAAAAAATACATAATTCGCATTGTAAAGTGTTTAATTAGATCTCACTGGCACATAAATCACATTTTTAAAGATAATGTTTAATACTAAAATATAAATAGGTAAACAGAACGATTAAAAAATAGTAGTAATTAACTATTTGCTATTTTGGCAACAATTTATTTTTAAATATTTTTCGAAATATTCTAACAAAAAGTTTTTCCGGTGATTCTAAATATGCTTTTGTAAGTAGAAAAAGTGTGTACTACGCCCACAGATGTATAAAAATCCTTACCGGTTTAGAGCAGGCGCGACAAAACAGAGTTCCTTTTTGAAGAATAAGTTCAGGAAAAGGTTTAATCCCTAATAAATTAAATTAATTTGAGTTATATTCGAGATATTGACACACCTGTATCCCTTTAAATGTTTTCAATGCAAACTCAGGATGAAAAATAATAGGATTACGTCCCTTCGACCACCAAACAACATACCATTAATATACTTAAGTAATGAACAAAAATATTGGGAACCAACGGTATTTCCAAAAGTAATTAGGGCCCGAATTTACCTAGAAGGGTGGCTTAACACCCAATGGTTTCTCCAAACTACCATAAAGCCCAGACCTTTCCTAGTTATTTGAAGCTCAGGACAATATTTGCAACATGATTCATAAAATTTCGTCTTTCTAGACAAATTCCGATAGAATGACGATAATTTTTTTTTTCAAATTAGTACAAAAATTGATAAAAATGCAAAATATGCACCAGTTTGGTGAAATATGCAGCAGAATGCAAATATATGCAAATATGCATTTTTTTATAGCTGTATTCATTTTTAATTGGCATGATTCGTTCACATATTAAATATCACGACTTATATGCAAAAAATAACGGATATGCAAATTTCATAAAATCCGCTCTCTATTTATGAATATTACTAATATCGTGTAGATGTTAAAACGCTAATCAAAATTTGGCTGATCATCCTTACCAACAATTTGTTGGCGTCATCTCCAAAATGTACGGTGGTAAATATTAATTAAATTTTATAAAATAAGATACTCCTGCACATGTGGTTTATGAACCCCTGTTGAGTTTTTATCCTGGACATCCAGATGTTTGGAGAAAAAAATCAAAATTGCAACATCTTGCAATTTAACTTCGAAACTGCAAGACCGAATGCTCTGAAATTTTGGAAACATTTTAAGATTATCGTAAGCATTGTAAATTTTTAATCAATTTTTTTTCGTTTATGCCCTTCTAAAACAATAATGACATAATTTTATAATTTTGCTGAGTAAATATTCTGTAATTTATGTTTACCAAATATAAATTTGATGCTTCCAAAAGCATTGTTGTTATTTTAAATCCAGTTCTCATCTGAAGAACTCGGATTAGATTAAAGGAGGTTCTAGATGAAATTTCTAAATTGAAAAAAATTGAACTCAGTAGAAAGTAAAATGGTACTTTTCACCTCACTTTTTTCCATCTATTTAAGCTATTTTTGTATCTGGTTTTTCATCTATTTGAAGATAGATCATTTTTTTAAGCAAATAGATCAGTTCTTTTTTATAAAATAAAAAAGGCAATTTTTATGGTAAGTTTTTTTAATTAATTTTTTTTTAACATTTTGCCCCATTTCTACGATTATTTTTAAAAACCTTGTGGGTTGGGATATAGCTAACTTTGAGATTTTTACAAAAAAATAAAAAAGAACACTTCAACCTCAAAATTGGCCTGTTTTCTTAAAAAAAAATACATATACAAAACACCTTAGAATAAATTAAAAAAAAAAAAAATGTGGGGTGGAACGTAACATTTTACTTACTACTAATCTGGCCCTTATATTTTGGTATTATAGAATTTTATACAATTGTGTGATCTATGAATCCGTGTCGAATTTTCACCCTAGGCATCCAGATTTTTGGGAAAAAAACCAAATTGTATAACAACATTTTACAATTTAACTTTGAAATATTTAACTTTGAAATTGTAAAACCGAATGTTCTGAAAACTTATAAGTAGGCTTTCTAAGATTATCGTAAGGTAAATCGTTAATCAAATTTTTTTAGTTCATGGCCTCCTCAAAAATGATGACGTCATTTTATAACTTTGCACAACAAATGTTTCTTAAATTATGTGTAATTTAAAATCCGTGTTAAGTTTTTACCCTTGACATCGAGATTTTTTAAAAAAAGTTCAAAATAGTATTTTACAATTTAACTTTAAAATTGCAAAAGCGAATGTACTGAAATTTGTTCGTTTAAGGCTTTCCCAAAAAATTATGACGTCATCTTAGAATTCTGCCCAAGAAATGATTTTTTAAATTTAACATTCCTGCATGTGTGATTTATGAATCCGTGTAGAGTTTTTACCCTTGCTATCCAGATTTTTTGAAAAAAAAAAAATCAACATTGTATAACAATATTTTACAATTTTGCCGAATTTCTTCAAATTTATTCATTCATATGGGTGTTTTTGGGAAAAAATTGAGTATGATAACACATAATCCACCTAATTTCATTTTCTTTTAACAGTTGATGCTTGTAATCTAAACGTGCTAATAGTCGAATTCGGTTGAAGTTAAACATAAACAATCGAAGTTAAGCATATACTGAGAAATTGAGAATGTTTACATTTTTTCCCGTTAGTTACCTACTTTAAATACACATCATATTTAAAAACGTAGGGGTTGCGGAGATGTTTATAGAGGTTAATAGTTATCATAACACGAAAATCGCAAAATCTAATTTTACGATTTTTTAAAGAAGCGAAATTTGTCGGACTACACTTCAAGGGGGAGGAAAGTTCTGTCAAAATAACCTGCCACAATTTTTTACTAGCTTTGTTTTTCTTAATAGTGTCATCAAAACTCCAAAAACATAATTTTTACAAAACGTCCCCGGCACAACTGAAAATAATAACAGTAATAATAATACCCAAACAACATCTGTGTACAATATCACAGGGTCCCACTTTGCAAATTTCCCGGTGGACCCTCATATCTTCAATCCAACTCTGGGCTAATAAGCTTGGAATACACATCGGGTGTTCTGCAAGGAACCCAAAATTTATTTAATGACACCAACCTGACAATGTGGATTGTGGGGTGGTACAACCTAACCTAATTTATTCACGCAATTAACGTTTTTCAACAACTCTGGCAAATGTTATTTAGACATCGAATGAAATAATAAAAAAGACGAAGAATAAAACACATGCATTTTCGCCACACTTCCTTCCACCAACAAGACAAAGGCGGCTTAATGACTTTCTTAATTGAAAACCCTTTAGTTTTTATTTTAATTCTCGACGGAATTTACATTCAACAGAAGAAACAGACAGAGTTTAAACCTCTGCGAAAAGGAGGTGCGAATAAAGATATACTGTGATAAAACGGAAAACTCAAGCCTTCTTTAATCGAAGGTTAGGATCATTTTCAGCGATCTGTAAATACTGGAAAAACTACACACTAGAAAACCTATAAAAAGTACCGGAAAGAGGAGAAAAGAAATACCAAAAAAAAAAAAAAAAACAACACCGAGGGATTCACCCACCGGTAGCGACATTACATCTACTGCTTCGGACGTATCACTGAAAAGAATTCTACCAAGAGTCAAGGTGCAATGACGCACTTGAACCTCTGGTCAGAGGGATTAGTTTTCAGGTGGCTGTACGGCACAAAAAACGGTTGGCCCAATGACGAGAGGCACTTCTAATAAATACTTCTGATAGAAATCTAAAATCTTACTGGAAAATAAGTTAGCACCAAGTAGTATTTGCTAGGATAAGAGTGATTTTGGCAAATGACATACCCTCTAAGGAAATAAAGGGTGGGTAAATATTAGAAATCGTTAAAGAAGCGGAAGAACAAAAATTGTTAGAACTGACGAGAACTCTTCTAAGAGAGATTCCAATTATGTTAGGTCAAAACACGACAAGTTAAGTTACGTCAGAGTAGATCCGGACATAGTAAGTCATGACTGAATAAGTCAGATCAACCCAAGTTACACCGGGTAGAGTAAAATCAATTTATTATAAGGTGAGTCATGGCTAGTCCAAATATGTCAGGTCAGAACGTGCCAAATCAGGTCATGTCAGGGTAGATCTGGACATATTAGATCATGCCAGAACAAGTCATATCCAGTGAGGTCATGTCTGGTCAGGTCGTGTCAGGCCAGGTCATGTCAGGGAAAATTACGTCAAGTCAGGAAATGTCAGGCCAAGTCATGTTAAGTCATGTCAAATTGAGTTAAGTCAGGTCGTGTGAGGCCAAATCAAGTAATGTTATGTCAGGTCATATCAATTCAGGTTACGAATTAAAAAAATTGGTCTAAAGAATTTAGACAGTACTTCCCTCGCTGTCGGAAACTTGACGACTGCATGCCTATTGTGTTTTTTTTCTCATTACATTTTTGTAGTGGGAATTTAAAAAAAAATTGCGATGACGTCATCAACATTTTTGCAAGGACACGTATATCAGTTGGGATAGATGTAGTGTAATACTAAGAATAAAATTATTATATTCTCAAATTTTCGGGAAAATGAATTGGGTCGTTTTGAATATTGATTTGTAATAATCAATAAAATAACGAAACAATTTACTCACGTATACGTATCAGAGGCAACTGAAAATGTATGTATAAACATTCTTAATTTAAGATGACAGGCGTAACAGCATACGTGAGAGTCAAACAGAGAAACTATAAACAAAACGACCATCGGTTTTATTGCTTCGACTTCCGCTTATTATATAAAACATTGGGTTTTATTTTAATTCTTGACGGTGAAATTCACAATTGGTTGATTATAAACATGTCTATTTCACATTCGCGGAACCAAGTGAACGCATAAAACAAATGCAGGTCTGTAATGTTAAAGTCGATGTAAATAAGCGTGCTACCCTTATGTTTCAACCGAGTTTTTCCTTTAACAAATTTTGTGTCTACCAAATTGGGTTGGTTGGGGTGTAATACTAATAATAAGTGTTGCCTAATTTAATCAATAAAATAAATTGACTTCATTAATTTTTTTGAACCACCTCTTGAGAAAATCTAAAAAATATTAATGGAATGATAAATCACAAGTACAAACTCATCATATTTTTTGCATTTTAGATAGGATTTATTCAGCAAAATTTAAGGGTGACGTCATCAATTTTTTTAGGAGGGATGAACAAATACATTTTGAACAAAAGTTTACCATGCTTATAATAACTTTAAAATATTCCCAAGATTTCAAAGCATTCGGTTTTGTAATTCCTGATTAAATCGATAAAATAAATTCATGCCTTCATTAATTTTTCTGAGTCACCCTGCATATGCAAATCCAAAAATATGAATGGAATGATAAATCACAAGTACAGACTCATCATATTTTGTACATTTTAGATACGATTTATTCGGCAAACTTTTGAGCTGACGTCATCAAGTTTTTGGAGGGGATAAGCAAATATTTTTTGACTAAATATTTATGATGCTCTTTATAGCCTTAAAACATCTGCAACATTTCAAAGCATTCTGGTTAGCAGATTAAAAATTAAATTTCAAAATGTTGTTTTATAATTTTGATTTTTTTTCCAAAAATCTGGACGTTTCGGGTGAAAAGTCGATTCACATGTGTAGGACTATGTTATTTTATACAATTGAAAACCCATTTACTATGTACAATTTTGAAGTGACGTCATCGCATTAGTGGTGGGGATGATTAGACAAATTTTGGTTGGCGTTTTACCATCTACATGATATTCTTAATATAAGTACAAAATTTCACAACAATCGGTCGAGTACTTTCGGAGATTATCTGTCTAATAAAAATCCGGGACAACAGACGGACAGACGGACAGACGGACGGACAGACGGACGGACAGACGGACGGACAGACGGACAGACAGACGGAAATGGGAGACCTATTTCTTCGTCTTCTAGGGGTCATGAAAGATCGAGAAAACGTAAAAGTAGAGAGTCGGCCGACGGTCTCGATTACAATACTTCCTTTGCTTACGCTCGGGAAGTAAAAAGAGATTAAGATATATATAATATAAATGAGCCTTTTGGCACTGACTTGACTCTCTCATCAAAAGCAGTGATGGAAACGATGCTCGCAGTTAGAATATTGCAGATTTTGCAAGCTACCATCAAATCCTGTGAATTTTGTAAAGCGGCAAATGAAACCGTTGGTCCGCCACCAACAGCCGCCCTGAGCAGGAGGATCGGCGTTCGGCGATGAGCTAGCTAAAGGATTTCTTTCGCCACCGTTCATGCGACCGCTGGAGTTCCGTATCCCTGATGAGAGGGGACCCGGCACTTCCTCGGCAACTACGAAGCTGGCGCCCGAGAAACCGCCCCCGTCGAAGGCGTTAACTCTGAAGGTGTCATTTGCGACCAAATCGGCCAAACGTGTCATAAGTGGCACTAGCCGGTTCAACAGGCGACACAAATTCCACTAGACTACATTGTAAAAACGATTTCTGATTTTAGGCAATAGAAATAATATTGCTTTGTTTATCGACCATTTTAAAATTAGCTAGCACTTCCGCCAGGAGAAGGAGCTATCTAGAGGAAAATATTTTTTTTTCTTTCATGTGGTTTCTTTTACCGATGTGCATTGTGGCCGAATTTTTAACATCTGTATTAATTTCACGATCGCTCACGAGACCTGCTGGATAAACAGTTCTGAACCCAGAATGCAAACGTATAGAAATTTACAGTTCTTAACTATTCTAACTAAGTCTCTCCAAATTTTGTGGTCTTTTTTAAAAACATCTTGGGCAACAGTTCATTTTTCCTGTGAACTTTAAAACTTGTCCCTAAAATAATCGAGATTTCCAGAAGCCTAAAATAGAAAGCAAATTAAAATAAAAAGAATATAATTGTAAAACCGCAATAAAACACACAGAATCAATTCATCCTTAGCAGCTTCAGTGACCATGTCTGAACTTTGAAGTAGGGAAGGTAAAGCAAATGTCGTTCATTTTTCGAAATGATTACAAAGTGATACTGATTAACTTTTAATTGCCTTGATGTTGGCTGCTTAATCCATGTAATCTAGACTGGCAGTTCTAAAAAAAAATTGAAATAATATAATGATTAATGTATAGTTTTTTGGGTCCTAATGGGATTCCGCGTTTGTTACAAGTCTTCTAAATAGATCTAAAACAAAATTTGTTTAAACTAATAAAAATTAATTTTCATACTTACTTTGTCACTTCCTGGTATAAAACTGGCAACATCTGCGGAACCCTTTAATACATTACATAAGAAATTGTGTTCTTGGTAAAAGGTAGACGATTTATGAAATTTCGGCGATATCTTTTTAAAAGTAATGTGTTTTTGCTTAAAATAGAGAATTATTTGACGAATAAGACTATTCAAGAGCTGTACTAAAGACATAGATACAGAGAAAACATCATATATCTGCAATTAGTCGCTGTCAACTCCCCATTTCAATAAAAATTGAGATCGCAATCTGCTACTGAGAGCCAAAATTCACCTAGTTTTCAAGTTGCTTAGACGAAGAAAATTTATACTAATATTTATAACGTTGGCATAATTTCATTAATAGGTGATAAAATTAGATTCTTTTATTAATGACTGACATACTTATTTAAATTAGACAAACCAATTTGTTCGAGCTTGTCCCTACACTTAATTATTTGAAGTGAGTGTCGTGTGACCGACGAAAGAATTATATTTAGGTCTGACTCTAAAACTTCTGTTGACTAATCTGTTTCGTGTATTCAGTTTTATACTACCAAAGTGTCAAGAAGTTAACTTTGCACACAAAAGAACCGGTGATGGGGCAACTAAATATAAAATAATACAAACAGGAAGAGAATGATCAACTTTTTTGGTTAGTTTACTAACATTTTCATTTATTTGTAAGTTAGATTCATACAAAACTTCAAAAATTATTATGTAGTTTGACAAATTTACTCACTTTTCAGCATAATTATAGTGCGTATAAGAAAACCGTAAAATAATGTTTTTATAGACTTACCGCTACTAGTAACAATCTACGTTTATTTACATATGTTTAAAGTAAAACAAAAACAAGTTTTTACTGAAATTAGAACTATAATACTACGCTACACTAATCAAAGTAGTTTTTTTACTCTATAACTACAGCGGTCTGCTCATGAGTGGCAATATGCCGTCTGAAGTAGTACTCATCAGCAAAGCTCCTGCTACAAACAGAACACTTGTGCCTAATCCCCATATGTCTGTTCTTATAATGATTTCTATATTCCCTCACAGTATAAAACCCTTTATTGCATTCGTCACACCTATGCCTAAATTGGTCCAAATGTCTCATCATGTGCTCTTTCACATTCTTCTCATACATAAAAGTCCTGAAGCAGAAGTTACAAATCGCTCTATCCGTATGTTCTACTGTATAATGGTAATAGAAATCACTGTTTTTAGTAAAAGTGGCATTGCACACATCGCAGCTATTAATATAGCATTTTCCTTTCTCAATGTGACGGAAGAAAACAAATTTATTGATAAACAGTTGCTCGCAACGTAAACACTTGTAGTGAGCAATATCCACCTCATCGTTTGCAGTGACATACAAATAGTTTGCAGCAGAAAAATCTGGCACGATATGACGTCGTTTTGGTTGGGGTGCCCTCGGTCTAGGCTGATAAACAAGTTTGCTGGTTGAAGGTTGGAAAATCTTTTGCTTCCCGTTCAAAATGACCGTCTCTTCTTCAACTTCTTGCTCTTCGGTATTTGGTATAACGTAGCCGTGTTCTAGTTGAACTATTCTATATTTGTCAACTTTTTTAGTTTTAGTTGGCTGACTTGGTATGTCTTCTTCTATGACAACTTCACTGGCGCACTGCGAATCATCTAAAATGTATAAAAGTTCACTTGCATCATCAATTTCTTGTTCATTGTCACAATTGAGAATAATTTCTTCTACAGTTTCGTTATCTTCATTTGTAACGGATTCGGAAGAGTGCTCTTCTAGATGAGAGTACAATTCAGTGATCGCTTCAAAATTACTGTCACACTTGCAACAGGCAAAACATTGGCCGGATTCGTCCACGTGGTGTTGCAAGAACTTTTCCTTGTCGGGAAACTGTTGCGTACATATGTTACACAGGTAACTCACACCCGAGTCTTCTTCGGATCTGCAAAAAAACACAATTAGTACGTGAACGAAAGGAACGAAAGTTGCACTACATTTAAAAATCATACAATGAAAGACGATAGACGGTTCAGCAAAATTTAATGACAAAAATATACTTTAAAAACAGTTTCAGTTTAATCAATTTTACATCTATGCATCTTCAACAGTGAATTGGTGTTGAATGTCCTTGAGCAAATGTCACATTTGTGCGGCCTTTCGCCGGTGTGATATCTCAAATGGACTCTGAGATACGACTTTTGCGAAAATCTTTTCCCGCAGGCAAAGCATTCGTACGGTTTTTCCTTCGTGTGAACTCTATAATGCTTCACTAACCATTCTCGCTTGGCGAAAGCTTTTCCACAAGTTTCGCAAACGTGGTTCCTTTCACCAGTGTGGCTCTTTTTATGCTGGCGTAAGTTGTCTAACGAAGCCAAAGTCTTACCACACACTTCACACACGAAATTTCTTTTGCCTGCATTATGCTGCTTTTTGTGTCTATAGTAACCTATTCTGGTATGCAACACCTTCGAGCACAAATTGCATGTATAATTTTTCGCAACGTAGTTAGGTTCGTGCTTTTCTTCGTGCTCTTTCCAGGCGATTTTGGTCTTAAATATGCGCCCACAGGTCTTACAAATGAAACGCAATCCTTCATGCTCGACTTTGTTATGCGTCTCCAGATCAGCTCTTTTCACAAACCCGGCATCACAATTCTCACATCGAAATGGGTAGTCCTTTGTATGATTAGCCACTTTGTGATCTTCGAGGTCACTGTATGAAGAAGTGCTAAAATCGCAGTAACTGCAGATGAAGCTGTCAATATTGAAGTGTCTTATTTCCATGTGGGTCACTAAATCGTGTTTCTGGACGAACAGCTTGTCACAAACGACACACTGATGTGTTTTTTCGCGATGTCGGTATACGTGCTTTGCGAATGTCTTGTAGCTATCAAACAATTTGGCGCAAACTTCACAAATGTAATTGACAACGTTTTTGTGGCTCGAATTCAACCTGAAACAGATTTAAATGTTAGTTACATTGTCATTTATGAGAATTTAAAGTAAACTGGCACATGGTGAAACTAATAAAGGTTCACATATAAAAAACATTTCACTAAAATAAAAGACATATTCTTCTAGTGTTTACTATATTTCACGTAACTGCACCTTTTTAAATAAGTGAAACACAAACATTTTTCTTCACAAAGTATATACATGTGTCACTATAAGATTTTATGAAACAGATTAACAAAAATAAATCGTTCACAAATAAAATATTTGGATACAAGATATAAGTCAATATATTCCTGTATTTCATATACCAACCTCCATATGGAGTCCTGGAAATAAAAACAACTTCACCGAGTTTGTAGACTGTAGTTCAAGATTGCCTAGGTTTTAATAGGTGGTCACTACAAACACATCACCAAAACCCTCCTCCCTCTATACTTAGAGCGTTATTTTGTGTCCGCAATTTTTGATAGAGAGGTTATGAGAGGTTAGATACAGGGACTGGAATTGAGAGAATTGGGCCACACAAAAAAAAAATGGCGAAAATTAATTCCAAAGTACACACATAAATTTTACCACAACATGGTATCACTAGTTCTATTTTATTGCATCTCCCAAACAAATGTAAAATCATGTACAAAAAATATTATTAAATATATCACTAAATTTATTAAATCCTAAATATACAAGCAAGAGCAAAAGTACAAACCTGGTACAAAAATAAATTCTTACTTAATTAAGTATTTCCATTTTTTTCTATATACAAAAATCACGTCGACGTCACACATTTATGAGTATTTAACTGAAACCTCCGAATGAACCCTTTTCCACACTTGTCACAATTATGTGGTCTGCGACCAGTATGAGAAAACATGTGTGTCGTTAATGTAGATCTTTGCGCAAACCCTTTTTCACACAGTTTACATTTAAAGGGTCTTTCCTTCGTGTGAACCCGAGAATGTTCCTCTAACGTAGCCCGTCGTATAAAACCACTACCACAAAACTCACAAACAAACGGCTTTTCGCCAGTATGCGTCATTTTGTGGTCTATCAATTTCTGCTTAGTAGTCACAGACTTGCCACAGACATCACAATGGAATTTTTCTTTTTCGCCCGTGTGTATCTTCCTGTGGTTAACCAAGCTAACGTTCGTGGCTAAAACCTTGCCACAGATGTCACACACGAAAGACTGAGGATTTGTGTGCAAACGCATGTGGTTCTGGAGGATAATTTTCGAGCCTAAAATTTTATTACAGAGCTGGCAAACGCAGGGTTCTCGGTTGGATATGTCTCTGATTTTTCTCTTCTTGGTGTAGTTGGGTTTGTGCGTTTTTATGTGGTAAGACAGAGATTCTTGGTACTTAAATACTTTTCCACAGTGCTTGCATGGAAAACGGAGATCTTCGTGTTCTATTCTTCGATGGTAGTTGAGTCGGTGATGTGAAACGAAACCCATGCCGCATACTTCGCAGTTGAAACGATAGTTTTTTGTGTGGAAAGATGTGATATGGTTGTCGAGATTCACTTGTTTTTTGGTTGAGTATGTGCAGTAAGTACATGACAATAAAGATTGTTGAAGATGTGGGAACGAGGATAATAGTGGAGGTTGTCCGGATGTATCTGAACATGAGGCAAAATTAGATTCGTCTTGCTTGGAGTTTTCTTGAGGTTCTTCTTTAACGCACCTGAAATAAATATTTTATTTATTATTCGAAATTTTTGGGGGCACAAATAAATTTGCCAGAGATATGGTTGACATTAAAATACTTGGACTGTTTCACAGACGTTATTTACAAAGCACTTTCGACTAGAAAAATGAAAACTGTCTAATTTCCTAATTTGCACGATAATTTTTCTTGGCACAATTCACTAGTTATCACTTTTACCGATTTTCTTTTTAGAAACCATGTAACCAGTAATAAGAAGACATAAAATAAAACTAAATCCATAGAATATTAAAAAAAAAAAACAGCTACTACTTCTAACATGAATTAGTTCGTCTTATACGAAATTATTATTAACCATAGTAACACCTTTCGTATTAAAATGTAATTTCAAACGTTCTTACTGGTTTAAAAAAAAAGCATAAAAAAGTTCACGTAAAATATAAATCAATTCCCCAACATTACCGTATTGCCATAAAAAATTTGAGAACTCGACTAACGCCTCGACATTGATTCTCGTGAGTGTAAACTCACATTTCCGGCGCTACCCAAGTACCAGTTACCCAAGTAACTATAAATAAGTACGCCCATTTAAGCATCTAAATGTGTGCATTTTTACTTATACCGTTTTAGTGCCTTTTACGTTCATATTAAAAACAAAAATGCGTAAAATGTAGAACGGTAGTTATCGATTGTTTAATTTTCTCAAAACTATAATAATAGGAGTAACAAATAGCTGTAGAATTTTCTCTCCAATCTAAGACACTGTAACACCGACATTCGTAACTTCAGGTTATTTATTAAATTTTCTTTATTAATTCCTCCCAGGAGTTGATGACGTCATTTCAAACAGATAAAATATGTGCACTGCTTATGTTGCAGCATTTCCTAATACAAACTGTCTCTAAAAAATGAACATTTGGACCGATTTGAATAATATAAAAAAATATTATAAATCAAATTAAATATACAGGGCGAATCGGTAAGCGCGTGCTCCTCGATGTCTCATTAATTACTATTATTAAAAATAGAAACAAAAATTAAAAACGAAAGTTATACGGTCCTTTGAAGCCCACACACTAAAATTATTTTCAACCACGGAGAGTGTTTAGTTTTTAGAGGGTAACATATAACTTACTTTTTTCAAATTGAACACCCTATATATTTTTATAATTATTCTGAATGATCTCTTTATAACCACAGTTTAATTTTAGAATTCCGATTCGACGTTGACACGTTACTCCAGTTTTCTTAAAATTCTTTGACCATGGAAGGGTTCACAAAAAATCGCAATAGGGTTATGTTTAAAATCTGTTTTGTGGAAAGACAAATAAAGCTATGCGTTTTGTTATGGAATTAAAAAAAATCAATGTTAATATACAAAGTGATAATTATTTTTCAAGATTCCAATTACCGATATTTCAGTTTTTTCAAACATAATTGTTTTTTATTACCTTTTTCTTTGCAAAATATTTTGTAAATTTAAATTTGATAATAATTGCAATTTTTTATCTTTTTGAGAGGCACACCGACATGTTGAAAAAAGGAGAACCAAAAATGGAGTAAGATACATTAATAAAATACAGGTATTCTGTTTGAAAAATTTAAATATCTATATTTGAAAATTGTAACGTTTTAGATTTTTTTATGAACACTTTGTATATGCAAATTTGATTTAATCGATAATACAAAATGCGTACCTCTGTTTATTTTTCTAAAATTGTGTAATTCATACTGTCTATATTTTTTCTATTGATCATGTCAAAAATAATGCATTAGATTTTTTCGAAAATTTGCGAGGACTGGAATGTCGCGTCCGCCTATATTTAACAATAATAAAATAAGAATTATTTTATTACTTGGTTGGTTGTTTAATAATAATAGTCGCCTGCTCAGTTCTTAGTAGAGAAAATCATTAAAACTCTTCCGAATATTCTGATGTATTTATCTTTTCCACATTTCAAAATTCTGAGCGAATTAAAATGTAAAAAATGTATAAAATCAGTTACCATCTGCATCAATTCGATCGTCTTCAGTTTTTTTCGGAAATAACAGCAACTTTTTCTTTTCAACAAAACGCATTATTTTAAGTAGACTAGATCAATGAACAGTAACTCACTTGACTCAATGCTTCAAAAAATTGTGGACCGACGGCATCTCTGGCTATCAGTTTCACTCTACTATCTCAAATATATTTGAAAAGATAGAGGCGATTAACTGATATAAAAAATATGTAAAATGACTATATTGGCGCTAGCTAGCATTGGATTTATACTGGTTTTGCTGTAGATGTGTTTTTTTATTTCGAAAGAATGTACTTTTTTTATTTTTTTACGTTTTAAAGCATTTAGGTGAAAAAAAAATTCTGGTATTTGTGTTGTCGTGACGTACATTTACTGTAGTAATACTGATTTAAAATTTCTGTTTTTTTTTTTATTTACAGCACATACTAAGTAATAGGCATTGAAAAAATTGAAAAAATTTCATTTGATGGACCTATAAAACGTGAGTTTTAAAAAAAAAGTATAAATAACTGTTATTTACACAAAACTTCCCTCGCATCTGAATGCTGATATTTATTAACTATGTATAGGCAGGCGCAACATTACAGTATTCTGAAATTGTCGAAAAAATTGGACGAATCGCTCTTGATTTGATAAAAGTAACAGTTTAAGAAAAAGAAAAAAACAATTCGCCCAATCAGCGCTTCGGACCTAGGACCTTCGCATTATAACACCGGGATGGTCGACTCTACGCTACCTAGCCCTGATTAGCGTGTCGCCTATACTAGTATAAAAAGTGAATCATACAATTTCGATTTTTTACGAAAATTTTAATGACTAGGGGAAAAATTCAAAGCGGATTCATACACCACAAATGTACGAGAAATTTTTAAGATGACGTCATCAAATTGTTTAGCGTTTTAGACCGCGTTCGTTTAGAGAAAAGCACACCCCCTAACTTGCGCAGATTAAAAAAATTAAATTATAAGACTTAAAATAAAGATACGTCACAAATATAAACAAAATCTTTAAAAATCGTATGAATAATCTTTTTTTGTTAAACTCAAATGCCAATGGTCGAATTCTACTTGTCAGATAGTGTGCATATCTTCATTTCAACCGGTCCAGTAGTTTTGGAGATTATCTGTCTATTAAAAATCGACACGGAGAAACAGACATACCGGCGACAGGCAGACGAAAACGGGAGACCATTGCCTCTAGAGGTCATGAAACTTCGAGGAAATATTAAAGTAGTCAGTCGTCCGATAAGCTTGATTACAATACTTTCTTGGCTTATGCTCGGAAAATAATAAGTATAAGTAGTTTCCTGCAAAACCAAAAGTTTAACTTCAAAAATATTATGGCTTTTTGTTTTCATTCACCTTTTCAATTCCAAGTTTTTATTTTTGTGAATAACTGAAAAACTAGAGTGGATTATGTAAATAGAGGTAATAACAGTTAAAGATCCTTCCAGTGCCCCACGTTGGGCGCCAATTCTCCCAGAGGTAGTACAAGTAATTTATTGTTATATGTGTACAAGTCAAACATAGGAATTGATGACCGTCAGTGTCAGGATGAAATTGCACCACTTCACGCAATCTGCAGGGACAAGTGCTTCGCCCGGGGTTGTCTTCATGCCACGGGTGGAATGGAAGAGTGGAATTGCGGTTCTCTGCGTGATCCGCTCGTCGCAGAAGGAATGGTGTCACTTGGCGTAAGCGCGACAGTGGGGATTTATAGTTAACCAAAAAGGTAAAGTCGTCGGATCGAAATATATTAAATATATGTATAATAATTCGCGCTGATCGGCATACGAAAACGAAACAAATGTTACAGAAGTTTGAATATGGAATCGTTTAAAAAAAAACAATAGGGGACACAAAAGTAAAAAAGTGAAACACAATTTTTCAGATGTTTATATAAATAATAATAATAATCAATCATTGAATATTCAATTTCATTTCGTGGATTACAAGTTTGCACAAATTTAATAAGAAGTAAAACCACAAGAAGTGACTTCTTCACGTTGTCTGGTATTGTGTTGGTCTAACAATCTAGTCACCATAATGATGCGACTAGTATAAGAACATAAACAACTCTACAATGAATACTTTTATTAAAAAAAAAATAAAACCCAATCAATTTTAATTCATTTTGTTACAAACCAAGTAAAATTAGTCGTTAGCCTCATTGTAACCTTTACACGAATGACTTTTTAACGCAGTCCTAGAAATAAACCTTTTCGTACAAATCTCGCAAGGATAAGGTCTCTGTCCGGTATGAATTCTTTCGTGGATTCTAATACTAGGTCGCCCCGCAAAACACTTTCCACACACCGAGCACTTGTATGGTTTTTCCTGAGTATGGATTCGAAGATGGAGACTTAACAGTCCACCTTTACTAAACGCTTTTCCACACTTATCACAAATATACCCTTTGCTTCCGTGTATCTTCTTGTGAGACGAGAGTTTAGCAGAACTAGCATAAATTTTCCCACAAATATCACAAACGTGCGACTCATCTAGTTTTACATGTCTTCTCACATGTCTCTGTAAATCCACTTCAAGATCAAATTTCTTCGAACAAAGCTCGCAAGTATGTTGGTCCTTGGGTTCAACTGAATGTTTCTTCACATGCACGCCAAAATGTTGCTTATTCTTGAAAATTTTCTTGCAGATGTGACATACGAAATGAAGACCTTCATGATCAGATTCCTTGTGAGTCATCAAAGTTGATCTCGAAAGAAATCCTTTGTCGCATGTGTCACATTTGAAAGGGTAATTTTTCGTATGCATGGCAATGATGTGACAGTTAAGGGCTGCTTTCGTGTTTCCTTTATAGCTGCACATGTTGCACTGAAAAGGGCGTTTATTTTCATGACGAGCGGCGATGTGGCGCTCCAGTGCACAGCGTGATTGAGAAAACAAGCCGCAAAGATCGCACAGAATAGTCCTCTCTTGGTGCCTTCTGAGGTGTTGGATGTATGCCGTTCTTTTTGCGAACATGCTGTAGCAGAATTGGCAAGTATAGGGACACACTAAAGGTGCAGATGAATAACGATTGGCCCTGTAAAACCAGAAATATAGAAATTGATTTGTGTGATGCGGTAACGACAAATACCTCTGGATCAAAATACATGCGTTTCTCGGAGGTTGATCGCGCTTGGATCGAAGGAGAAGTGTTTTAAGAATAGACCTATAAAAATAATAACATTGAATTAGCAATTAGTTATTTAGGTGTGAATCCACTGAAGCGCAGTTTAATGCGAAGTGGCTGATATTTGCGCAGAGGAAACCGAAATAAATATAAGTCTAAGTAATAAGTAACTTCACTAGGTAGGGCACATTTTTTTTTCAGAATACATATTAGAATACACACTGGATTCTGTATAGATTCATAACAACAAAATAGTTAAGTGAAAACAAAATATGAATAAATCAAAATACACTTCAGTTTTTATACGTTTTGTCCAAATAAAGTCACTAAACAATTTTGTGCAATAATATTCGAAATTGGCATTTTTTACAATGGCAGACTGGGAAATTTTTAAATATGACCGGTTTTGTACATATCTAAAGCTAAAATATGTTCAAAGATGTTTTCCAAAAAAACCTTTGTACCTAACATAATTTTTGTATTTTTTTAATAAAAACGTAACCTACACACATATGTAGAGTGTTACGATAAAAAAAATGTATATGGTACTTATGTAATAATTTCACAGCTCTAAAGGCAGTTTATCAAAACTCTGAGCGTTGGGAAACCCTACTTGATAAACAATTATATATAACGAATTGATAAATAAACAAACAAAAAACAATTCAAAATTGTACAACAAAAACTTTATACTTTATTCTAAAAATTGCTGAATCAAATACTTACAAATTAAGGATATATACTTTGAGGTTATTACGACCCTGAAAAGTCCAAATTTCTATGACATCACATTAAAAATTTTGCCCGTATTTTTCATAAAAAATCTTCGGCAAAGAAATCTATACACATAAGAAAAAACACTTTTAACCAAAAAAAAATATATACAATGGTGTCCATACGAAAAGTGCGTTCCTCTAAAATATGTTGGATTAGAACATTCATTTTTTGCCGTGTAAGATGTAATACAGTACCTTAAGTAAATAAATCCTCTTATCCCTTCCTGGGAACATTTCTAAAAATCCTGAAATATCACTAAAAAGTTGCAGATTATTATTGGACACAAAAAGTTTATATATATTTTTTTTATAAAAGAAATTTAACTTGTGTTGTTTATTTAAACACATCTTGGTACTTCTGAAGTTCTAACTGCAGAATTAGTTATACTAAGCCAAGCAACAATTTTTATTCCGGGGACATACTGTATACAATTGAGTAACAATTATTAGGAATAGAAAAAAAAGAGAACTAAAGTCCTTGAGTGGCATTGGTTAGAACTATTTTCGGTTATATAGTATTCCATTTTTGAGGTACAGCACATAATTTGGTTTTTTTTCCAATAGATAAATAATCTCATTGGCCTCTTCTTAGTCCTTATTAACTATAGTTTATTTCTGAAATTCGTATGCGACGTTGCCACGTTATTCCAAGTTTCTTGGATATTTTTAACAACGCAAGGGTCCATGGAAACTCACAGTAATGTTATTTTTAAGAACTATATTTTGTGGAGAGATAAACAGAGGTACGCGCTTTGTTAATTAAATTAGATTTTATTATACAGAGTGTTTACAAAAAATTCTAAAAGATTATAATGTTCAAATATCGATATGTTAGTTTTTTCAAATATTATAACCAAAATTTGTCTAATCATCCCCACCAATAACGCAATGACATCACTTCAAAATTATACATAGTAAATGGGTTTTAAATAGTATAAAATAACATAGTCCTAGTAGTTTATGAATCCGTGTTGAGTTTATACCCGAAACGTACATATCTTTGAAAAAAAATCAAAATTATAAAACATTTTGAATCTGCCAAACCGAATGCTCTGAAATTATGCAGATGTTTTAAAATTATGAAGAGCATAATAAATTTTTAGTCAAAATATATTTGCTTATCCCCTCCAAAAAATTGATGACGTCAGCTCAAAATTTTGCCGGATAAATCCTAACTAAAACTGCAAAATATGATGAGTTTTTACTTGTGATTTAGCATTCCATTAATATGTTTTAGATTTGTTTCTACAGGATGACTCAAAAAATTGAAAACTGAATGCCTGAATTTATTTTACTGACTTAATCAGGAACTGCAAAAGCGAATGCTTTCAATCTGGGAGATGTTAAAGTTATCATAAGCAATTAAGCATGGCAAATTTTTGATCAAAATACATTCGTTCATTCCCCCTAAAAAATTGATGATGTCACCTCAAAATATTGCTGCATATGTCGTATTTTAAATGTACAAAATATGACGAGTCTATACTTGTGATTTATTTTTAATATATAATTAATATTTTTTTAAGTTTGTTTATACAGGGTGTCTCAGAAAAACTAATGATTGACTTGTTAAAAAATATATCCAATCCAATCGTTGCTATGGAAATATGCAATTTAACACATTTTAAATTTAACAAGTTTTTACGTGTTTAGAACGGGCACAATCACCCGCCTCATATTTTGTCAGAGTTTATGGCATTTGCCAAAATAAGACTTATCTTAGCAAGTACTAGCAACTACTACCCTCTGAGAAAATAAAGGGCAGGTGGGCGCGTCTAGTACTTACTAACAAATCTTATTTTGGAAAATGACATACCCTCTAAGAAAGTTAAGAGTGGGTGGACAGTCTAGTACTTGCTAAGATAAGACTTATTTCGACAAATATCATCTGGAAAATAGGAGGTGGGCGGGCGGGCCTAGTATTTGTTAAGATAAAACTAGTTTTGAAAGTTGTGAAATTTAAAGGTGTAACGAGTTAAGTTAAATTCCTAAATCTACCCGAAAAAATTGTTTAGATTTGCATATACAGGTGGCTCAAAAAAATTAATGAATGTATAAATTTAGTTTACTGATTAAGTCAGGAACGGCTCACTCAATTTTCCCAGAAAATTTTGGGAATACAATACTGTTATTTTTATTATTATTACACTGCACCAATCCAAGTTGACATACCTACGTGTCCTTGCAAAAGTGTTGATGACGTCATCACCATCAAAAACTTAACTCAAAATTGCTGGATATATTTCACTGTACTTTAGGTGCGAGGGAAGTTCTGTCGAAACAGCTTTCGACCAATTTTTTTAATATATTGCTATAGCTCTCCAAAGCAAACAAATTGCAAAAACTATCAACATATAAAATATGGAAAAACAAAAAAAAAAGCGAATAGAGACCAGAGTAAGATGCAGTAATAAAATACAGGGTGCTCTATTTGAATAAAAAAAGAAATATTGATATTTGAAAATTGTAGTATTTTTTTTATAAAAAACAGTTTCTATATTAAAACTCAATTTAATTTACACCACAACAAAGCGCGTACCTTTGTTTATCTCTCCACAAAGTATTGTAACGTATATTTTTAAAATAAGCCCAATGCCATTTCTTTGCAAACCTTTACATTGCTAAAAAATTCATGAAAACTGGAATAGCGAGGCAACGTCGTATCGGAATTTCAAATAAAGAATACGGTGTTAAAGCCTAAGACGAGAATATGTAAAAATATATAAATATAATAATCAGAGTTAAGCACAGCCAAAGTGATGGATAATCAATCAGAGAATGATTAAAAACGACGGCGCGACGTCAGGCGATAAATTTGTAAAGTTGTAGGCCACGACTGCAACAGCGCTGGAGATCGGACGGCAATGAGCATCACTTTCGTGAGGCCGAAGTCTGATAATAACTATACAATAATTTTAATGGATGCCAGTCAAACAACCGTACAACTGTAGTCTATAACTTTTTTTTCAATAATCAATGAGATATCGAGGAAAGCGCGCTTAGTGACTCATCCTGTATATTTACTAAATTATTAAAATGTATTAATCAAGTATAATTCCTTGTTTTATATCGAAAATAAAGTAGTGCGTGGATTTTTTTTAAGAGAACTACTTTCGTATAATCACATATACACAGGATGAATCACAAAGCGTGCAGTCCTGAATATTTCAACAGTTATTAATGATAGAAAAGTACAGATATTAAAGTTGTACCGTTATTTGAGTAGCATACAACAAAATTATGTGACAGAGTGCTTTTTTAGGCACAGCACAAAACTTTTTTTTACTAGAACACCCTATATATTTTTACATACTTAAATAAATAAAATAAATGAGTAAATAAAATATTCTCATTAAGAACTTCCTAGGTTTTATACCCATAGTTTATGGTTAGTAAACAAAAAATTAATGCTGTACTTCCATCACAGTATAACTTAACGTCAACTCTGTGATCTTCGCAACAAAAACAAATAACTTCAAAGTATCAGTTTGGTGTTAAGTAATTCAGGGTTAAGTTTTAAATTCGCAGTTGATTTTTTTTTATCGTCCGTAATAATAATAAGAATTTATGTTAGACATTAAAATCATAAACCAGTTCGATATATTGCAGCTACAGTTTTTTATATATAGTGTAAATAAAAATAAATAAAAACCACTATTTTCATATAATTATTTGCTGCTAGTAGTTCCAGTCTCCAGGAAAAAGATAAATAAACCATGGTGTAGACCGCATATATCTTGTGACCTAAAATAAATTAATATAAAATGTATGAAAATAATAAGCAAACACTATTTACCTTACCCAAAAGGTTACTTTTTTGGTTCAGTCTAGTTCACGAATAAATTAATAGATAATATCGGGTAAATTTTTCAAATTCTTGCTCTAGTAGGCTATGACGCTTGCGGAAGCTGCATAGCGAACTAGAGCAGAAATTTAAAAAATCACACGGTATTATATCTTCGCATTAAATACTGATCAGTGTGCACCTGTACTTTAAAAAAATATATTTTGGTAAAAAAATAAAGCGTGTTTAAAATTTATTTTATTATAAAAACATACATTTCGTATTTAAATAACTCTAAACATCAATCGATTACCCTGGAAATCCCTGACACACATGGACTTTTAGTCCACTCCCGGAGATAAACCCGCGGGTACAAATTTCACATTTGTACGGTTTCTCTCCGGTGTGCACTCTCCTATGTACAGCAAGATTGCTAGCTTCTCCATATGTTTTGCCACAAATGTCACACCTGTATGGTTTTTCCTTAGTATGAACTCTCATATGAGACTGTAAATTATGACTGGCATGGAACGACTTTCCACATACCTCACAAACGTGACGCTTCTCTTCATTATGAGTCAGCCTATGAATTTCTATGTTCTTAAAAACCTTACCACAAACGTCACAAACTTGCGGTTCCCGAATATAAACATGCTTTCTCACGTGTTGTCGCAAGAATCCTTCATCGTAGAACACTTTTGAACATAACTCACAAGTGTATGTCTTTTTAGCAGAATCGCAAGAATGTATACTAAGATGTTGTTTGTAGTGACGCTTGTTCTTGTACATGTTTTTACAAAATTCACATACAAAATAATGGTTTTCATGGCTAGATTTTTGGTGCATTCTTAGGGCTGATCGTGAAATGTATCCTTTATCGCATGAGTCGCATTTATAAGGGTATTCCTTGGTGTGGTTAGTTATCACATGATACTTAAGATAATGTTCAGTCTTTGCTCTGTAGCTGCATAGGTTGCAAGGAAAAGTGCGTTTGACTTCGTGAGTTGTGGTGTGAACGTGGAAGCTATAAGGACTGAAAGATGTATACCCGCAAACATTGCAACTATATCGTTTGGGCTGATGAAGAAGACGGTGTTGGATGTATGCTTTCTTTTTCGAAAATGTTTCTAAGCATATTTTGCAGGTATAAAATTCTGAAGAATCTGTGGAAGGGAGTGTGGACCTAGAAGGTGCATATTTTGGTTCACGAACATAATAGTACCAACCACTTACTCCTTCTGGAAATTAGAAGAACTGATAAGCTTTTTCTTAGGAGATGAACGAAGAAGACGTTCCAGTATCGAACTCGACCTAAAAAAATAAATTATGTTATTTATTTTAGACAGTCTAATTACATTTTAAATCTATTTTGGGTAGATTTTCTAACCATTAATTTTAAAGTTGCCTAATTTCAGAGTTCTTCGGGAAACACCAATACTATTACATTTATGCTAGATTTGTTTAGGTAATTTCCAAAAGAGGAAATATGTTTTAATTTTAAATCATTTCATAATTTTAAAATATTTAAGCACGTAAATCAAATCAACAAGAAAAAAAACAAAATGGGTCATGAAGGGATCGAACCCTCGACTTTTGGTTTATAAGGATGTGATCTAACCAACTGAGCTAATGAGCGATTGGTTAACATTCTTTCTATATTACTGATAACCTGATAACACCCTTTTACGATGTCACAAACCTTGGGTGATATTCGTCGGGAGCTAGTTCTTCTGTAAGGTTCGAAAGTAATTTTTTTAGCGGCAGCCGACCTTTCCCCTGCACTTTTGAGTTGATTTTTCTTGTATCGGGACGCTGCCTTTTCTAATAATGGGATCGAGCGATAAGTCCCTAAGGACGAGGTTGAAGATTCTGGTGTTGCTTTGACAGACTCAAGAGAAAGTTTTTTCCTTGCCCTGTGTTTTCTCTGCCTCTCAGCATCTTTTTTTCTTTTCTCTTTTAACTTAACTTTGTCCTTAGCTAATTCTGTTTTGTTTTTCATTCGCCTTGCTTTATTTCTTTGCCTCTCCTTATCCAAATGTGCCTTATACTTTTCAGCATTTTCCTTTAATTTTTTTCGTGATTTTCGTTGTCTTTGTGTCCCCGACTTGACCACTCTAAAATAAACGGAATTAAAGCAAATTCTAAAAATATCCATATAAGAAAATTGGATCGTACCAAGAATTTAGCGAGGAGATTGGAAATGGAATAATCTTATTTTCACAAATTAGTAGCGTAGAGGCATTGTTGGCTTTTCAGAACTTTTACACACTTTCTGTAACCGGTGTGCCATAACCTATACAAATACATAAAGCCAAAACTAAATATGTCTTACCTTTTATTTTCACGCAATGTGTTTGTTGTAGACAGAAGCACTGTTGCAAAAATGAGATTTTGAAAATCCTAGTATATCACCAGTTGTTAGTCAAATTTACCCTTCAAAAGCTTTTTTCCAAAATACAATTTTTATATTTAAACTTAAAACCTTATGTTTTGTTTTCTAAACTTTAATATACTTAATAGAAATCGATTTAAGAAAAAATTAATTACTCTTCGTTGGGATCATTCAAGTAGAATGGCTGTTTGCTATGAAATATTATAAAGTGTTGATTTTTTTTGCAAAAATTCGCATCTCTAGCGTAAAAACGCAGGGCTGATTCATAAACGACAAATACAGGAGAATGTTGTCAAAACAAAATTATCCGTTTATGCCCTCCCAGCAAATTGATAACGACATCTCACAACTTTACCGAATAAACTTTATTTAAAATACGCAAAATATTATGACTCTGGTTTATCAATGCACTTATATTTTTGAGAATTACTTATACAAGGCGACTATAAAAAATTAGTGAACGACGAATTTTATTTTATTTATCAAATCAAAAACGGTTCACACCTTTACTCGAACATGTCAGTGGGGATGATCAGAAAAATTATGGTTAGCGTTTTACCATCTATACGATACTCCTAAAATACGAGTACATATAAAATTTGACGACAATCGGTGCAGTAGTTTTCGAAATTATGTGTCTGATACAAATCGACGCAGACGATAAACTGACAGGCGAAAGCGGGAGACCTAAAGTACTGTATTATACAGGCAGACGCAAGCAATAAAAGTTTATATCTTAGAAACCTTCACACTGTAAGATTTTCAAGTGCTAGGATGGTCGTTTTGGCGCATTTAGACGTTTTGTCACTTTGCTAACCTAATTTTGGTGTTTTCTTGTGTTTGATATAGAGTTTAGTGTGATATTTAATTTGTTGATGCTGTCGTTGAAGCTTTGTGCATTCTATTAGTCCAGTTACACACCGAACAACAACCTTACAATTTTTTTTGTTTTCTAAGCGACTTAAAAGAGCATACCTTGTGGACGAAAAATTACGAAAGAGCAAACTGGTTTCCCACGTCAAATACCTATCTGTGCAATGTAAGTGGAAACACTTTAAAATATAAACTATATATTTACTTAGAATGCCTATTTCAGACGCACTTGCAAGAAACACAATTCGAATTTAAGGGGCAGCTGAAGAAGATTGTGGCATACGGAAAATAACGGGGCCGATGTTTTACGTAAAGATGGATCATTTTAAGTTCAACATGGTGAGTCATTGGAATCTGACAACGAACTGTCAGTCAGTAGCGTAACATGCATAGTTCAGAAAGGGGTGGTTTTTAATTTTTTTTGTAATCGCAAACAATAACACAAGGAAACAAACTTTAGTGAATTGGTCAACACGCCAGCACGAATGCGAATTAATCTATTAGGCACTAATCTAAACAGGTACCGTTACGCTAGAAAAGTTCACTATGACAGATAAACGATGACGGACGCCTCTGAACGTCCACCCACCCATTAAATTTGAAAGTGGACTTGACCCGACCGATTTTGTGCTTCTATGCAGTTTGACAGCTGTGTCGATTTAGAGTGCACAATGTCTAAAACTGTTGTCCAATCAGAACAATTTTTCGTATATACAATCTATGGAAAAAACTCAATAGATCTCCGTTTTCGTTTTTTGAAAAAACTAGATTTAAACATAGTTTTTAAGATTTACAGTTCCTGAAATTTTGAGTGTTTTTATTATTTATGACTTATAATGAAAATTTACTTCCGCACATCTGTAGTAAATTTATTCTGAAATAGATCTGCTTTTAAAAAATCAAAATCGGATAATAAATACCTGAGCTTCAAATAACATGTCGTTCCATAATATGACGAACAATTTAAAAAAAAAAGTTCTAAAGCTAAAAAAAAAATATTACGGATGCGTTGTTCCAGAACTTGTCGATCTCAGGAGACGTAGAGGATTATCTATCCGAAATCCTAATTGTATCTTAAAAGCACAAAGAGAAAAAAAAACACTAAACATTAAAAAACAACTTTAATCCCCTTCATTTCTCCATGCTTCTCCTTTATTTTTTTATTGCTATAATTGTATGATACACTGCTTATATATGGATTGTCTGCTCGTTTGAAAAATATATAATATAATAACCAGACTTCGGCATAGCGGAAGTGCTGATTCTTGTCGTCCAATGGCCACCACTATTGCACTTATGGCCTACAACTTCGGGAATTCTTCGTAACAGTTACTACTTTTTCTAGGTTTCCTCAGGTATACGAGTTCTTCTAGATGTTAAAATGCTTTAAAAATTAAAAATGACTGTTAAAGATCACAATTTTCGTAATGATCTTGATTTAGAGAGTCTTATTTGGTATTATTTTACGACACTGCCAAATTAAAAGAATCGAACTCAGCTCAACCACCCAAAGGACGACCGTTCTCAGATATTAATTCAGATGAGAGACAATACAGTAGTTCATCCAAGTACAGACCTTCGTGCTAATAATCTGCACCGACAAAATAATCTACTCCAGCTCCCCCTTAACGAAATCGACGGTCGGAAGAAACTTGCGCTATATCGTTCCCACAATTTTTAATATCCTAAAGATTATCAACAGTGAACAGGAAAATAAGAAAAAGTATGTCGCAGGCATATGTTTCACTTTGGAAAGTATTTTGCACCATTTTGCTGTAATAAAAGGGTTTTCACTGACAAAAAGGGAGGGGGGCTGAAAAGCGAAAGTCCGTAGGGCATAATTCAGTGTCAAAAAAATCTAAATTGTAAATTCGGTTCTCAATTTAAAATATTTTTTTAAGTATTACTATTCTTAGTTCTGTTGTTATTGCTATTATTAAATTATTGTGTATTGTAGAGTGTATTCAATTACAAAAATAAATACATAATTACAGTGGAGGCTCGTGACCTTTTGAGATGGGGGGACACAATTTGACTGATGAGTTAAATATGAAGAATAAAACAGGCTGTTATTACCAATTAGTAGAGGAAATTATGTGACGGGAACAAACACAAAAATACACTCAATAAAAGTATAAAAACGTATTTGGCCACATAACCACATACCTTTGGTTTTAACTCATTACTGAAGAGATGCACAAAAGAAAACAATTTACATATTATTCTTTTCCACAACCACACATCTACAAAAATGTATCATACGTGTTATTTCTATTAAAATATCTATGAAAGTCTCTCGTTTTGCCATAAAAACGTTTTATTAATAAATCGGGGGGGGTCCTCCTTAAATTTTTCACTATAATTTTATCGTCGTAAGACAGAAGTCAATTTTTTATTAACTATTCATCTGAATTTATTATTTTTATTTAAAACAAACAATTTCACTCGCACAGAATGAAAATAAACTTATGCAGTTGATTAACAGCTAGCGGTCACTGTTTCAAATGTAACCCGATTGCAGCCGAACACAGCGACTAGAGGCCAGGTTTCCATGACAATGGTGTAAACAAATGAGTCATGACTTGGCCTTCGCATTGATCGAGACCTTACCGACGATATACCCAAGATACGACATCTTTAGATGTAAGTTTTAATACCTCTGAAACAAACGGAGCAAGATAAAAAAAAATAGTTTTGATAATTATGACACAAACTTCCGGATAATTTTTTAAATATGGAAAATTACTATTTTGCCAAGTCCAATGTTTTTATCCGAGAACGCAACGGGATATCGGCAGAGGTAAACCAAAAATTCGAACAAGCAATAAAATTATCTTCCCAAATTCAAATGCAATAAATATTTGGTGAAATTAAACTTAATCCTATGAATACAATAATTGAGTTCCTAGAAGGCAGTTATATTTTTCCAGTTTGGGATGTCTAATTCCATAGGTATAGTTTCCTCAAACCTATAAGGCGTTTATGGCTTTGGCGTTTAAAGTACTTTACAGCCGACCCTTCATAAAGCTTAGTAAATGTAAACCATGCCACGTGCCAGGGACGGCCGAGACGCGAAGGACCGGACTAAGAATAATTTTGTTTTTAACGTTTCTTCCGTACCGTAATTATTTAATCATTATTCTGCACATACGAAAATATTACGAGTATTAAGATAATTAAAGCAAAAAACATAAAATCTTTAATAAGTACAATCGCAATCGTAGAAAACTGGTCCACAAAGTTTTTTGATAAATCAAATAATTTTGACGATGTCACCGTCCTTTGTTTCAAATCCAGAGGGTACATTCATATTGCTGTTATATTAAAAATAATACATGACTAGAGAGCGAAAAGTATGCAGCAAAATTTTGAGAAATATGATCATGTAATATGCATGAAATTTATGCAAAAATGCTGTAACTTTATTAATATATGCAGAGATATGCAGTTGCATATCCTCCAAAAATTGAAAAGAAGTGTAATAATAACACAACTAAATTTATTTACAAATTATAAAAACAGGTTTATCAAGCTTAATTTTTTTAATAAAAAATACATAGATAAATAAGATTTTTAAAAATTATTGTCTTACACTAAATAGTGACAAATAAATAAAAATTAATAATGATAGGCCATTTAATTAGTATTTTTGTAGCAATTTATTTGTAAATACTTTTCGAAATATTGTAGCAAAAAATTTTGCCGGTGATCCGAAAACATATATTTGTAAATAGAAATGCGGTTTGTAGCAGAAGCTACAAAACACAGTGTCTTCTTGAAGAATAAATTCAGGAAAAGACCAGTACAGGGCACGGTTGATAAAACCGTTAATTGTTAATTTAGAAGAGTCGAGTGATGATGACAGTGACTATTTCGATCAATAAATAAGCAGTAGTAGTTAATAAGTAAATAGTTGTGTATGTCAAAATTCTAACTAATTTGCCGTAATAAAAAATGATTGAGTACAAAGTTACTTTGTTTTTACTCAAAATAAAAAATCGAAAGGCGCAGTTGTCGGTAAATGCAAAACTCAGTCCTGCCCTGTGCTTTTACCAGAAAAGGTCTTTGCAGGTAGGTATCGGTGAGCGGGTTTAAGACATCCGGTTGTGACGGCCTATTGAATTATAATGGGAGTCAAATTGGTGTGAATTCATAAACGCCTTATATGTTTGAGGGGACTCTACATGGATCGTACCAGTTAGTGAATTCCTTTAGTAATTAACCGAAAACCTTAAGTATCAAAATTTCAAAACCGTAAAGTGACATTTAGAGATTTTGGTTTAACCAATAACAAAGTACCAATTGAATTGCTCATAAAAAATTACAGGAATGAATACTAAAATTCTTGCATTTAATATGGCGGATGCGTCTGCTTCTATAATAAAGTACTTTAGGGCGACCTATTTTTTCGTGCTCTGTGGGTCACGAAACGTCCAGAAAGTGGCCAGTCGCTCGAGGGACCCTATTACAATCCTTCAAGACCAACTACTGTTCACTAAATATTGATCTAAAGTTATTAAGGAGAACTTCCTTCGCCTATTAAGCACAATCAAATAAATAAATAAATAAAGTTTCTTATGTAAATTGTAAAATTTGGTTTTGCCAGTTATTTTTTTACTAATAATAACAGGATTGTGTTCCCAAAATTTCAGAAAAACGAAATAAACCCCTTTTGATTCACTTTTACAATTTTTCACATTTCAAATTAAAAAAAAATCAAAATAGGTGGAGCGTATGAAGAAACTAAATCGAAAATTTTTGTTCCAAAAACCTACAAGTGCAATATTCAAAATAAAGCTAGATTAATAAATCACACGTAAGAAGCACATTTTCGATAGGATTTAGTCATGACGTCATCACAAATTTCGTGGGGATAAACAACAAATTTTAGTTAGCGTACGCAGCATTCTTATTCACATTTTCCCAAATATCAGTCCAGTATTTTCCGAGATTATTTCTTACCATCTCCTTTATTACTGTAACGACCCATGATGATGCTATCAAAGATTGTTAATTACTTATCACCACTGTATAAAACTTATTGTAGTCACTGTTTTTGTAACTAGTATTACACCACTATCACTATTGTACAACTATACATATAGACGACTATAAAATCGTCACTGTTTCTATAATCTTATAGCACTATCTTTACGAAACTGATGATATCGCACAAATGCACTAGACTCGTTCGAAATCAGCTAGAAACAAAAATTTGCATTGGTGGGAGATTTCAAAATATCTTATTGGCTACATGTAAATGTAAATTTTGGTTCCCCGATAATTACCTGCGGACGCAGATATTTTAATCTTTAACAAATGTTCCTAAATACTTAGAAGGGGGCGACAAGATAATGTAAATTTAAAAGTATGTCTGTAATTGCCTCTTACTTGGCATTGTGACTTGCAGATTAAAGGGTGGACACTCCCATAAAATTTTATTGTCGGATTATGAGGGGGTTAAAAGGACGGGCTCTATCGGCTACCTGCTATGGATTTCAGTAGACCAGAAAAATGGCTAAAGTTTGGTTGACCACTTACTCAATTATTTATTAAGATATTTTATTTCTGTAATGTGCAATGGATTTTTTAATACAATTTCTACTAATGTACCTTTTTGAAAATTTAAAATTGATCCATAAATAGCGAAAACAAGATAATCTCATACTCACACAATTTTACCGCGTTGTAGTGTTTTTTTGACAACAAAATTTAAAAAACGGAAAAGCAGTCTGGGTAGAGTTTTTACGCTCATTTCAACGGTGTGAAGTTTATTACAATCGGACGTATACTTTTGGCAAAAACTTGGGCAGAAGTTGATATGTATTTCCCTATGCTGAAATCATGCTTTAGCTCACCCTTAATTAAATCGCAAACAGACTACAGACAAAAAACAGACAAAAACGGCGGACCTACTTTTTCATTTTGTAGAACCTAAGAAACGTGAAGAAAAGGCTACACTCCAACAGTAAAATATAAGCAATATAATGTCGACATGTTATAAATTATCCTAACTTTTTTAATGCAGTTCAATGCACTTACCAAAAATGTATACAACATGAACAAATAACTTTTAAAACCGTTTCCACACACTAACTTCCACATTTTCTGGCTAATTCGATATACTTTTGCTACCGATCAAACACCATATACAAGGGTCGACACAAATGTCATGCACCCTATTTATATTGTTCCCTACGCTATTCGTTTTCTCCCTGTATAAAGAATAACACCTGGCTTTCGCAATCGAAACACGTCGAACACTAGATTGTTAAAGTTTTGTTGTGTTATGTGAATGAAGGTGGCTCGATCTTCTCGGACAGCACTGACCTGAACGCAAACGTAAAGAATAAACACTAAAATTTAACATTTCAAAATAATAATTTGTGGTAACGGAAATAACGACATTTCTTTTAATGGAACCCAATATTTTTAACTCTGTAAGACTAAGCAAAAACCTTCGTACCCTTAAATATTTAACATGCTTTGCCTTCAATGTGTTGTCTCCAGTGACGTTAAATGCTACAAGTGAGTATTATTCGTATACTTTTCCGCAATACGGAAGAATATTTTTGAGTTTGCGACTAATTTTTTTCAGCTTTGATTGGTTCTTTAAAAAAACCTAAAAAAAATAAATCATTAATAAGGAAAATAACATAAGCAAGATGGACAAAGGGATATAAAAAGCATGCGCCAGAAGCCCCAACATATAACCACTTACAAGAAAAAAATTTGTTTGCGTAGTTCCAGAGCATGTGTGATACCATCTTATAATTAGGCAACACTTGACTACATTTTACACAAACAGCTAGAAAACCTTAAATACGTACCTAAATATACATGTAGACTGTTTCACAAACTTTGTCCTCCTATTCAAACTTTTGTAATGTTCCACCTGAATTAAAAAAAAGTAGCAAACACGTGAAACTTTAATAAAAGACACATAAAAAATAACCATATATTCCGTGAAAAAACATTTATAACAAATAAGACCTACACTTTTAGGTACAACTAGAACTAAGTCCTTAATTGTCAGGTCTGAGCCAATGTGATTTTCGATGCATCGTTAACAACGTTTTCGTGATATAACCACGACCACAAATATCACACACATACGGTCTTTCCCTACTGTGTACAGCCCGTATATGCAACTGCAGAGAAGTCCCTTGGGTATATCTCTTATCACAAAGCTTACACGCATACGGCTTCTCTCTGGTATGTACGTTAATATGACACTGCAAATGGTACTTTTTCGTAAACCTTTTCCCACAAAAACTGCAACAAAATGGTTTTTCTCCCGTGTGCGTTTTTTTGTGGTTCATCAAACTAGTAGCCGACGCCATTTCCTTTCCACAAGCATCACACAAATGTTTTTTGCCTTCGTGATGCACACTTACATGTTCCTTCAAGTTCTTCCTCATAGTAAACGCTTTATTGCAAAATCCACAAATGTAAGGTTTTTCTTTGGTGTGTGTTCTGTGGTGGTCAGTAAGCTGCTCCTTCCTTCTAAAGCTCTTGTCGCAAAGCATACACTGGAAAGGTCTTTCGTCTGTATGGATCATTTGATGATCCCTTAGACTCTTCCTCGACGACATATTCCTACCACAAGTCTCACAAATATGCCACCTGCCTTTGCCGTCGTGGCACTTCGCTATGTGGTTCTTCAAATTATACTCAACCGCATACACCTTGTCACACATCTCGCAAGCAAACGTCGGTTGTACAAAATTTTCGTCGTGTTTCTTCAAATGCAGTTTCAAAGTACTGGGATCGCTGAAGCTCTTTGTACACTTATCACACGGAAAACGCACTCCTTTGTGAATTAGGCGATGCTTTCGGAGTGAAGAGCGCGATGCGAAGGCTTTTTTGCAATCGGGACACACCAATCCAGGACGAATTTTATGAACCTGTTTATGCTCCTCGAGTTGCTCAAGAGTTTCCAAGTTTTCTTCGCAGTTGTCACAATAAAACTGTTTCTTTTGAGTGTGAATTTCGGCATGCTTGTGCAGCGTCCACTTGTACTTGAAAGTTTTCTTACAAATGGGACAACTGAGGGGTTTCGGGCTATGAGTTTCTTTGTGATGTTTGCGTAAGGTTCGAGACGTTGGGAATTTTATATTACAAATTTTACAAAGACGTGAACGTCTTGCGTTTTTTATGACTTTTGTGCTTTTTGGAAGTTCCCATTCGTCGTCGTCTTCCAATTTTACAGAGTCATCGCTAGATCTGAAAAGAAAATAATTAGTAAAATTACAAATAAAAATTTACAAAAAACATACAAAAGAAAAAGTGTACATGTTAATGAAGGTAAGTAAACTATAAAAAACATTTATTTACAAAAATCTCTTACACATTTAGTACAATAACAGATTGCTTAGCATACCTAAATCCCTTTGTGCGACTTATAATGCAAATTGAGTAAGCTTCTAGTGACGAAACTTTTAGAGCAAATTTGACACTCGTGTGGTGTATCACCTTCATGGACCGCCCTCACGTGTAACGACAAAGAAGTGCCTTGAGTGTAGCTTTTCCCACAGATTTTACAAACGTGTGGTTTCTCCTTCGTATGGACCCTCAAATGGACCGTCATATGTTCTTTCTTAGCAAAACTCTTTTCGCAGTACATACACGAGAACGGTTTTTCCCCAGTGTGCATCCTAGTGTGCACTTTTAAGCTCTCAGCTGATGACAGCGCCTTTCCACAGATCGCACACAGATGCTTTTTACCCTCATGAAGCGCCATCATGTGCGACTTCAAAGTTTTTTTCATACTAAAACTTTTCTCGCAAAATTCACACTTGAAGGGTGTTTCGTTATTATGAGTTCTGATGTGATCAGTCAACCGTCCTGGCTTAGCAAAACTTTTGTCACACAAATGGCACGCAAAAGGTTTTCTCCCCAAATGGATATACTGATGATGAATCAAGCTCTGTTTTGACGCCATAGACTTCCCACAAGTCTCACACACGTGCGATTCGGTCTCCCCTTTATGCACTTTCTTAACATGTAGTTGAAGATTTTGCTCCACCAGATAGACTTTTTCGCAGAATTCACAAGCAAAAGTCGGAGCTACGTAATTGTCTTCGTGTTTCTTCATGTGAAATTTCAATTTTGAGCGATCTCGGAAACTGGAAGAGCACAACTCGCACTTATGTGGTCCGTTTCTGTGCAGAGACATATGTTTCCGAAAAGATGATCTAAAAAGGAATTTTCGGCCGCATTCTGGGCATGTTATGCCTTCGGGATTGGCGTGGTCGCGTTGGTGCTGTTTGAGCTGGTCGTGCGTCTTGAGGTATTTCTCACAACCATCGCAGTAGAATAGTTTGCCGCCTCCGTGTTGCACGTCTCTATGTTTTTTCAGAGTGGAACGATGTTTGAAATGTTTTTTGCAAACGGGGCAGGCGAATTTTCCCAGATGGTGAATATCTATTTTGTGGCGACGTAGGAATAAAACGTTGGGAAATTCTTCTTTGCAAATTTTGCAAGACAATCGTCTGGGTGCTTTCGGGCTTTTTTGAGCATTTTCCGTTTTGATCGGGAGTTCCCCCAATCTGGAATTATACGTGTTAGTAAGTTTACAAAACGTCTATAAATATTAAGGCTTAAATCTGAAGAAACATTGAAGGGCTTAGATCTTTGGTGTGGTTAAAAAAATAACAACACAATGTAAGATGTTTATTCAGATCGTCAGGAAGATGTTAAAATTAGAATAGATTATTATTAATACGACAAAGAAACACAAAAAAGCACTAAAATCGTCTACATGGTTTGAGAAATTTTAAATGCTAGTTTTTTTTTAAAATATCTCCAGCAGAGTTGCCTATAAATATATACACTGCGATTCATATAAATTTTGAAATGCTAAAATTGAAACTTACCTTACCACATTAACTGGAAAAACATCAAACAAGAAACAATCCCCTACAAAATTGTTTTTTGAAAACTACGCTAGACACAACAATATGAAAGCAAAATTTAGTTACATTAAAACTTTGATTTAAACAAGTCCTTTTTTTCTGACTAATGTCTTGTTTTCTAAAAAATCGGTAGGTCGTTTAATTAAATGTGCAGCACATCAATTTTGTCAGACAATTACATTTACTACTCTGATTCACTGCCCTATAGTCAAAATTGGCTAAGCAAAGCTAATATTTAAATTGTCTAATATTTAACCCATAGGGATCGTACTAAAAACAACATTTCATAATTAATTTCTACACTATTACATTACATCAATTTTGATGGTTATTTATCAAAATACAATGAGAGATGGTACTCCTTGTGTTTATTAAACATAAACTAAGCGAGACTTCCCAAAAAATTAAAAATGAAAATAATTTATTTTGTTAGAATTTTAATCGGCTATATATTAATTCTAACCTATAAACATATAGAAGATTATCGCAACAGAAAATTTCGGGAAATTAAATAAACTATGTGTGAAACACCGATACATACGTATCAGTTAACATAGGGCAGGGATTAATCTGTGACCGCTGCGCCGGTGCGATCCCGGAAACCGGCTACTCAGTTTTCGACATTAATGACAAAGGTTTGTGAGAAGAGGAGCGACGCGAGTGTTGCAAGTTTCTCTTTTTTCCGCCTCCCCAGGAACCGAATCAGCCCCATCTAGGGAGAAGCCGCCGCCAAAGAGGCCCTAGGACAACCATAACCGAATTCTATTGGCTTTTTTTTTGTTAGCTATTTTATCCAATAAGTTTTATCTTAGCCGTTATAACCTGGTAGAGAATAAAGAACGTATATTTTTAACCGAAGTATTACTTATTTCTGTTCCTTGAGCTAGAGTACCCACAGAGGGAGCTGGCGCCCGAGCATCCGCCCCTGTAAGCGACAAACCCTCGCAACTGTAAAAATTCGTCTAAAATTATTTAGACAAAACTTCCCCCATCTTCGAAGCGCAGTCCAACAAATCCAGCTTCTTTGAAAAATTATGGAATTTGATTTGGTGAAATTTTATTAAAAAAATATAGAAAAAACATCAGTCACAATGTACGAAAAAAGTACTCCATGAGGGGATCAAACAAGCGATATTCCCGTTATTAACATGATGAACTGGCGTTCCTCTCATATTAGTATAAAAGGTTGTTGTACAATTTGGATTTTTTTGAAAATCTAGGTATCTAGGGTAAAAAAAATCAAAGCGAATTCATAAACAACAATATAGGAATATGTTATTGTATAAAAGTTGAATAGCATTTACCAAGTAAAATTTTGAAGTAGCGTCATTCAAATAATTATTAGTGTCTACATGATATTTGTAAAATACCCAAAGTTTTACAATAATCAGCCTAGTAATTTCGGAGATTATCTGTCTAATAAATTTCGTCACAGTTGACAGACAACCAGTGGCGTAACAATCAAACTGCGGGCCTGTGTTCTACAACACTGTGGGGCCCCTAATGAACAGCGAAATAAAAATATTTAAAAATACGAGTATAATGAGTAAAGAATGAGTAGATTGCAATTAGCGCTAACGTTTTATTAAAATCATTCTACCTGAAACATTGAATTAAAAAAATAAAATACAATAATTACCTGAAGACATATAATTAAAATATATACAATATTAGAAACTAGCCGACCCGGCAAACGATGTTTTGGCATTTCTAGTGAATATTTTGGTACATAGTTAAATAAAAAATTAAATTAAAATAAATACATAAAAATTTATCGTACGACAATGATTATTTATATTCAATGGCCATCTTGCAACCCTATTGCGCATCTGTGGATGAAAGCAAAGATACTCATATCGTTATTAAAAAATGGGGGTTGGTGGTAAAAGGGTCAAAATTTAGGGTTATATGTATTTTTTGATGCCAAATTTAAAAAAAATAAAAATAAAAAATGTTGTCTAAAAAATAAAAAAAGTTTGGTGGGTCACCCTTATCACTTAGGGGTTTAAAAAATAGTTTACTAGACCTACCGAATATACACAAAAAATTTCATAAAAATCGGTCAAGGCGTTTCGGAGGAGATTGGTTACAAACACTGTGACACCAGAATTTTATATTCGATTATTTTAGAAAAAAATTCATTACCATAAAAAAGATTATACTGAATCGACCTTAAAAGATTGACGTATGCTGTCGCGGACTTTTTTTTAGAACTTTTAGAAGGGAACAATTCCATCATACATGATTTTTATGTAACTTTAACCGTTTAATAAGCAGCGTAAGCAACGGAAGCTGTCAAAGGACGAATAATTTTCCCGTTTTTCCGATATTTTTTCATTGCTGCTTCGCTCCTATTAATCATAGGGTGATGTTGTATAGCCTATAACCTTCCTCGATAAATGGACTTTCCAACACAAAAAGATTTTTTGAATTCAAACCAGTGGTTTCTGAGATTGGCGCGTTCAACCAAACAAACTCTTCAACTTTATAATATAAGTAAGTTCTTGCTTTTCAATGGGCACAAGTTGATACAAAATTTGACACATCTAAGCTTCTAGCAATTTGATTTCCATTTGAGAGATTCAATGAAGGTAATCTGCATTGGCTCATTGTTTCTTAAAAAATTTTTAGTCATTTTTAATTTCGAAAAAGATCTTTCCGCTGAAACCACCGAAAGAGGTATTGTAAGAAAAGTGAAACATGCTGTGATAATTTCAGTGACACTAGTACAGGTAGGTCATTCTGTAATAATTTCCCAGTCCAGTTTTTTTTCTACTTAAAAAATTAGTTGTAACATACGTCAGATATATTTTATTATTCCAAAAAAGCACCACAAGTACAAAATTAAAATAGTTTTGAAAATACGAAAATTTTCATAAAACACAACTGAAACTGATTTTTTTTTTTTCACGTTTTATTACAGCATGAAGTTTCACTGTAGAACTGAGGACAAAATTTAAGTATTTTGTTGTCTTGCATCATAAATTAGTCATACTTTTGTCGGATAAAGATTGGTAATTTACTACATGGGGTGTTAGATTTGCTACAATGGGATTGCGACACTGCGACAGGTTTATCACAAACAGATGCTGCTGCATTTTCGACCGCCGGTGCCCATCGCTAAAACCCGAGTTTATTGAGTGTATGATATTGAGATGCCGCCCTTTGCAACAAAAAATTCGTAAATAGGAATCGACCATCGATCCTGGGATTCCCGCACATTTTCGAATTTTTTATTTCAGGATGTAATTTGGGCAATAATATAAAAAAAATCTAATAAAAAAATGTTCGTGTGACCGGACCGGGGCCCTTGAAGCAGCGGGCCCGTGTTCCGCCGAACACGTGGAACACCGGTAGTTACGCCACTGCAGACAACAGACGGGCAGATGGAAATGAGGACTTACTTCTTCATGTGGTAGGGGGTCATGAAACATCGCAAAAACACAAACGTACTTATTATCCGGATAGACCTAATCATAATATTACAGATTACGCTCGGGAAGTAAAAATAAAAATTGAATCCCAAGAAATGTAGCTATCAAAACCACAGTTTTCAATAAATATAACTTTTTGCGATGACGTTAAAAAATACCAAAACGTAACGTAAAAAAACGTAAAGCGTAAGATCCCAGGATATACGTTTCTATAAATACATATATGTTTAATAATGTTTTGAAAAACTTTGTTGAACTTAAATAATGCATAAATTTGAGATATTACTCTGTAACCCCTAAAACACAAGTAAATGAAACCAGTAGTGTCGGAGATTGTATGACTAATAGAATCGCCAAGAGACTGACGGAAACAGGAGACCTATTTTTTCATACCCTAGGGGTCATGAAACGTCGACAAAACACGAAAATTTACGCTCACGTAAAAAATTTTGATCTACTTCATGTACATAACTAAGCTGTTGTACTTTATGTTTTCAAAATTTGTAATGTGTATGTCATTGTCAACTAGCAAATAAAATAAACATCAAAATAACGAAATGATATTTTTAATTAGAATTAAATTTTACCATGAGATCTACAATTATTATACACATTAATTTATGTCTTGGACAATCAGATTAATCCCAAATAAGGTGAATTTCATATTTTTCTGAAAAACACTTTCACCGCTAATCGTTTAACGGCCAGGCGATTCATCTAACTGCACCTGTGGAGCTTTGGAGTATCCAGACAAGTTTAAATTCAGACACTGCTGAGCCCAAATATATCGGGTGTTACTTTGGGAAATTTTCTGTATTTTGGGGAGCATAAGAACATCGTCAGCTTCACACACTATAAAAAATGTAATTTTACCATACATAAATGTAAAAATTAACCATATCAAAGAAGTGATAATTTGGGATGAAATTTTATTTTGCCTAAAAATTAAGGTCAAATCTTTAATATGGGTAATTGTTAGGTACATACACTTATGTACGGTAAAATTACATTTTCTTATAGTGCATATTGTTAATAATAAGATATTATTGTGAAAATTTGTACTTCTAATATTATAATATAACATTTGTCGCACTAATCAAGACAAAATTCTCGAAAATTTTGAAAAATACAATTTTTATTTTAAAATGGTAAAAAAGATGCGAAATCGAAAAATAGCATAAGATACTTTAGAACACTTATGTCTTAAAAAACTTGTCCAACGACTACTATTATATTTCAAGGGATTTTATTTGAAAAAAAATTGGCATGACGTCATCAATTTTTTCGACGGAATGAATAGAATGAACAGTTTTGTCAGCATTTAAGCATCTTCACGACAACTTTAATGGAAACTTAAAATTTCAATACAACTGAATCAGAAATTGTAAAATTTATCTCTTAATAATACACTGACCGGCAAATAAGCGGTCACTTTTTCTATTACTGTCTTAAATTAAATTAAATTTTGTCTTTATTTGTCTATTTTTCTTGCTAATTTGTGCATTCTGTGTCAACATTGAATAGTTATTTAATGAAATAACAATCCCTAGTTAAATTAATAATTTTTTTGAAGTGATGGTTGTGGGCAATGTTTCAAAATGGCCGTTTTTTTGCCGATCAGTATATTTCCCGAAGCAAGCGTCGACTAAACATTTCGGATTTTAATCATGCTCGTATTTGTCAACTGAATTAAAAACAGTTATCAAATTTTTTTCTACAACCACCTTTCTTTCAGAATACGTAAGTAAGTCACAGTGGGCACCAAAATAATTTCGCTATGATCTCTGAAAATGTGCATACATCGAGAAACTATTTTTTAAATATAAAACTCTTAAACTGATCGAACTCCTAATATCTGAGTATGATTAGTTGTTACTCCGTAAGTCACACCTAGAACGATTTCATTGCAGAATTGTTAAACTCTTCATTATCAACAAGTTTAACAGCCTCTCCATAATGGTTTGAACACAGGGTAAACGAAATTTATTAGAGAATCGTCGGTAGTACTGTGAAGAGTCAAAAAAAAAAAAATAGATAAATCCCTACCTGCAAAAGCAAAGTGTGAATACAAAATCTCAGCTTAGTGTTTAACAAGCTTACCTTCAACGGCAAAATTTCCCTAAAATCAAAAACTTACCAGGTGATAAATAATTAAACGCTTTACACTCGCAAAAGTCTTTTATTATTTAAAAAATATATACAATTCCTACAATTAAAACTGTAGCAAAACATTAAAATCATTTATTCAGACTTCATTTTGTGTACTTGTCGCAAATGTCTTCGCAAATGAGCCGGCCAAACAAACGATTTTTCGCAAATCTCGCAATGAATATCTCTCTCTTCATGAATGCGTTTGGTATGAAGAACAAGATGTGACGTGCTCCTAAATTTCTTATCACAGTATTTACATTCAAACGGTTTGTCGTTGTTGTGTATTCTGAGATGATGTTTCAAATCTTTAACATACCTAAATGCTTTACCACAAACACCGCACGTATGTGGCCTGTCCCCTGAATGAAAAGCCATATGGACTTTCAAACTCTGAAGACTAGACAACTCCTTGCCGCAAATCTCGCACACAGTTTTTTTACCAAGATGTTCAACGTTCTTGTGATGGAGAAATCCACTTGAAGATCTAAAAATCTTGTCACAGATGGGACAAGCGTAAGTCCGATCTGCGTATTTATGAACCCTACTATGCAACTTAAGTTTTTGCATTCCTGCAAACATCTTGCCACATACTTCGCATACCACTTGTGAAAAACTGTTATCATGCTTTTGTTGATGGGCATAATACGCTGCCACAGTAGTAAAATTGTAAATTAAATCACAACGAGGACATTTTTTTCCTTGGATTGAGTGAAGAAATTCGTGTCTTTTTGATTCGTATGTGCTTTTTAAATTTTTTTGGCAGATGGTGCAGAAATACTTGTCACTGTTTTCGTGCAGTTCCATGTGAAGGTCGAGCTTCTTTACGGATTTGCCACAAATTGGGCATTCTGATTTTTGGAATGATTTTTGGCTGGGGTGTGTTTTTTTGCAGTGCTTTTTTAACGATGAGTAGTTTTCGAAGTTCGCCCTACATTCGCTGCAAGTAAAAAACGGGCTAGATTCGACTGCATAGTAACTATGATCCAATCTGGAAAAAACCACAAAGTAAATTTAGGTGAGGTTTTAGTCACAGTTACTCAGTCAAAGTTTAAACACAATTATATAATTATAAGTTGTTGCTATTATTGGTGTATTCTGTAGATTTTGTTTTTAACCTCATTCTTATTTTATTTACATTTTGCTCGTGTAAATTTTTTTTTTTCAAGTCAATCGTATGAAAAGTCATAAAAATGTCGTTCGAATTCGGGAAGTCCCCGGAATACAGATAAGCAGATATCACAAATTTATTGAGACGAATTTTATTGAAGGTTCAGACTATCAAAAGAATCTGTAACAAACTGGTTACATTTAATTAATGGTGTGATGAAGAATCCTACGAAACTGCGGTTCAAAACAACGCTTCATAGTTGGTCAGGTCCTTAACCAAAAAATAATGGTTAAACGACCTCACTAGGCTTGATTAACTAATCAAGAAATTTAACTATCAAATATTCTCGACCCGATATCACCATAAGTCTTTAATATAGCCACTAGATTACACAGATTGTGTAATCTAGTAGCCACTAGATTACACAGATTGTGTAATCTAGTAGCTATAGTCTTTCAATTTTAACAGCGCCCTCTGGTAGGTAAGCGCCATACCACGTTAAGTGTCTTACTAAGACGAAACATGTTTTCAGGTACTGCATCACAATCTGTAAAACGGTCGATTTCTGTTTCATTTTGGAAGACGATTTATGGAATTATTCACCTCAGTTGAAGGACTTTAAAGTTCAAAAATGGTGTGACAAAAAAGCTGACCATTTTTTTTCCAGGTACCTCCTAGCTCAGAACAAAAACAATTGTAGCACTTTATACAATTTTATAGTTTTCTAAGGCATTGAACAGAAACAAACTAATCTTTTTAAATAATAAACCATACATAAATTTGTCGTTGTAATTTAGCTCTTACCTAAGCAATCTGCAACTTCCATACCGAATATTTTTATGTTTATACTTCAAAAGAATTCTACCATTAGCACGTTCCGATAAAAAGCAGTGGCAGCATTTGTGTTAAAAGAAAATGAAACATTTTCTAGACAAGGGGGTGAACCCTTCTTACACAGCTATTATGCGACTAAAGAATAGTACTTAAAGAAAACAAAATCATAATAACGAACAAAATGAAGGCGGATTCATAAACCATACATACAGGAGTACATTATTTTATAAAATTTAAATGGCTTTTACTGTCAAATATTAACTCGATGTCATTATTGGGTTGGTTGGAATGACGAGACAAATTTTGGTTAGCGTCTTACCATCGTATATTCTTAACACACATAAAATTCGACAACAATGGGTCCGGTAGTTTCGGAGATTATCTGTTTAATAAAAAATGACGCAGACGGCAGACAGACAGACGCAAATGGGAGACCTATTTTTTTTTTATATTCTAGAGGTCTTGAAATGTCGGGAAAACATAAAACTAGACATTCGTTAAATACAAAACTTGCTTACACGCTGGAGGCAGATAATAAAGTGACCCATGAGGTGGACTGAACCCATTACGAAATCGAACTCTAACAATTGAGCTATATATACTGTTGATCCATTCCGTTGCTCTTATATTAGCATAAAAAATTATTTTTCTTACGGAAATCTGGATGGCTAGGATAAAAAATCACGACGGATTCATAAACTCCAAATACAGGAGCCTGTTATTTTACAAAATTTAAATAACATTTACAGTGGAAAATTTGGGGTATCGTCATCAAATTACTAATGGTGAGGATTAGACAAATTTGGGATGGAGATTTATGGTCTGCACGATACTCCATATAAATGTATAAAAATTTACAAATCAGTCCGGCCGTTTCGGAGATCATTTGTCACCACAAACGATAGACAGGCGGAAACGGAAGACCTATTTGTTCTTAGTTCAGGAGTCATATGGACTGTCAAGAAAACATGAAAGTAACCCTGGACGCTATTACAATGTTTCCTTAGCTTACACTTGGAAAGTAAAAATTTTAATGAAACTAGTTTCTTATTTTAATTATTGTTAATAATAATTACAGAAAGCCCAAAAGTAGACGCTAGTGTCACAAAACTAACCAACTGTCAATATATGATGATGAAAAGGGAACATTAAATGTCACCGAATTTTCTTCTTTGCTCATATGTATACCTATCAACTTCTGAAAATTGTAAAAAGTATAAAATAAAACCTTTTTGTTCCTTTATTGATCACAATATTGCGAAAATGCATTAACTCACCAAAATAGAGACATCCAGAAGTCACCTTATTAGACTTTAACCAAGCGCCTTCAGTAAATTTTCCAAATTTTAACACCAAAAGTCTCTAAAAAACTATACTAAGTACTTACGAAAGACAGCAATTTTCACACGCAAATTTTATTACAAAATCAATAAATAACCAGTAACATCATTTATTTATAAACTCTTCTTCAACAAAAAAAACTATAATTAAGTACAGGACAGGTACTTCAAAACAACTCCTTGTGCACTTGTTTATTATGTCTAGCCAGAAGACTCCTTCGACAAAAACTCTTCTTGCAGATTTCGCACGTAAACGGTTTGTTGTTTGAGTGCATCCTTTCCCTATGAAGCATCAAGGCACCAGAAAGTTTAAAAGCTTTGCCGCACTGATCACACTCGTATGGCATATCCTCAGAATGCACCACCATATGGGTCTTCAAAGTTTTGAGCAAGGCAAACGTCATGCCACACTGGACACACAAATACGGCTTTTCACCAAGGTGCACTTTCATGTGTATCTTCAACGCAGGTTTCGTGCTCAAGATTTTACCACAAACCTGGCAAACGTGTCGGATGTTTAGGTGAACTACGTCTCTATGTTGACTAAGGCCTTCGTAGGTTTTGAAAACTTTGTCGCAGAAGTTACATGGGCGAAGTTTCTCGTGTAGTAATTTTCTGTGTCTTTTAAGACTCTCTAGGTTGTTAAATTGTTTCTTACAGATTCTACAGAAACAAGCTCCTGTGGTGTGGAGGGAGCGATGTTGGTAGTACTGCGATACGTTTTTGAAGTTGTAGATTAAATCACAATCTGGGCACTTTTTACCCTTTACTGAGTGAAGGAATTTGTGTAGTTTTAACTGGTACGAACTCTTTAATAGTTTGTCGCAGAGTGTGCAAGGAAATACAAGTGAATCATCGTGCAGTTCCGTGTGGACTCGAAGGGCACTCTTCTTCACAAACTGTTTGTGGCAAATTTGACATTCTACTTTTTTGGGAGGGTGCGTTTGTTTGCGATGGCGAACCAAATCGAAGTATTTTTCAAAGGTTTGATTGCACTCCATACAAGTCTTGCTTCTTTTGGTTTGATTTGGTTTAGGTTTTTTGAGTGAGTTTGCATTTTGATTTTTTACCATGTCACTATCTTCCACCTCACTGTTGTTGCAACATTGAGCATAATCGTGTTCGTTGTTCTCAACTCGAAAATAATCATGTTCCCATAACCTGAAAAATAGAGACACTCAGATCATATAGCCCGAAACAACTAAGGTGTCCCAAATTTTGGAAAAACTTGTAAATACCTACCGATAATTAAACAAATTAGGGCAAACATATCAAGTATCAATACACAATTTAGTAAAAGCCTGTATAATAATGGTGAAGAAATTTATTTTGGTACAAAACAAAAATGCCTTTTATTTGTTACAATCTATACTGCTTTCCACATTATAGAAATAGATGAGTTTGTTCCTTGTGTTTACTTAGGTGTGAGGCCCATACAAACCCTTTTCCGCACACATCACAAATAAACGTTCTATTCTTCTCGTGCATTCTCTTAGTGTGGAGCGTCAAATTCGTCGAATTTCTAAAAACCTTCTCACAGTGTTTGCACGGGAATGGTTTCTCATCTCTGTGAAGCCTCATGTGGTTTTTCAAGCCCTGACTCACAGTAAATCTTTTTCCGCACTCACTACAAATAAACCGTTTTTCGCCGGTATGCCTCCTCAAATGATTTTTTAACGACTGTTGCGAAGTTACTTCTTTGTTGCAGATACTACAGATGTATTTTTTGCCCAAATGGACAGACTTATCGTGTAATAGAAGACCTTGTGCGCTTTTGAACACTTTTGGGCACTTTTTGCAACAAATCTGTGAAACTTTGTGTTTATATTTGTGCGCTCTGAAACGGTCTTTTCCTTGGAATGACTTTCCACAGTCCTCACAAAAATATTCTTCTGCTGAGTGAAGATTGCGATGTGAGTAAAACGCCGCGACTGACTTGAAGTTGTAAATTAAGTCGCAATCTGGACACTTTGGCCTTCAACGGAATGGAGAAACTTGTGGCTTTTTACTTGGTATTGATTTTGTAGAGGAGTTCTGCAAACGTGGCAAAAGTATCGGTTTTTTATTTCGTGGATTTCCAAGTGAGGTACGAGGCGGTTTCTCTGTTTGCCACAAACTGGACATAGAGGTTTGTCTCTGGAATGTACGTCTTGACAGTGATTAGTACATTGTGCACAGTCGAGAAACTCTTCGTCGCACTTTATAGAGTTTGTCGTTTCCTTGTTCTTGTAAAGTGATGATTTGATACATGTTTCTTCCGATCTGTAAAAATAAAATCGGTTAAAAATAAAAACGAATAAAAAGTGATGTATACTTCTCTTCGTATGTCCCCCTACATTTATGGTTGTGAAATTTTACACGAAAAACTTGGGTAAGACAAATGTAGACAACTGCCAACAACAAAGCCCAACAAAATGAAATTAAAGTTTTAAGACACAAGAGACGCTATTTCTACGGAAAAATTTGTTGACATAATTATGTAGCTTTCTAAAAACAAGGTGAGAGTTTTTACACAAAATTACTGCCACCAGGCACAACAAATAAAGTAAACGTTAAAAAAGAAAAGTTATGACATTTGAATAATAATCAATAAGAAATTTTTATTAAAATTAAATGTCACTATCAACCATATCAACTTTGACAGCAGAGAATAAGATTATGTTATTTTATACAATTTAAATAATATTTATTGCGAAACATTTTGAAGGGAGGTTACCTCATTGTTCCTTGGGATTATTATTAGGCAAGTTTTGGTTGGAGGTTTGCCATCTACACGAAATTCTAACATACTTACAAATAACAAACGATCCAATTGTTTCTGAGACGATTGTCTAATAAAAACCGAATCAGACAGACAGACAGGCAGACAGACAGAAACGGGTGACCTATTCGTCGAGAAAACAAGGAAGTAGAGATTCTTCCAAAAATAATAAAAAAGTCAATTTGTAGTTAAATATTAATAGACAAAAATAAAATGTGTGTTTTGTTCACTGAACTAATGTAAAACAACATCCAACTTTATGTTTATAATTTACCTATAAGTACTATACTATAAAAAATACCAAAAGAAAAATATTTACAAAAATTAAGCTTCTTAGACCCGGTTTATCGAAAGCGAAATTAAAGTTAATTCGCGATTACCTTTTAATTGAGGTCTCGACCTCTTTTGGTCTCATCAGTACATACATTTCACTGGTTGCCTAACTTGATAGACGACAACCACTGAAATGTGCTGTAGGTACAGATGAGACCAAAGGAAGTTAAAACTGGACTCCGTCTACAGCTTTTCATTGCGCTGTCTAGCTTTTCAAGCAGGGGCGGCTGGTGCCGGGGGGCACAAGGATATTGTAAAATAGTAATTTTCAGTATTTAAAAAATTATCCGGAAATTTGTGTCATAATTACCAAAACTATTTTTTTCTCTCTCCACTTGTATAAAATGTATCAAAACTTACATCCACATACATCTAAAGACGTGTCTTGGATATATGATATGTTATTTCTAATGAAATGCTGATAAAAGCCGGACAGAGACACCGAGAATCATGGCTGATTTAGATGTTTTGTTTACACCGCTGCCATGGAAAACACACGTCCTCACAACTGGACTGCGGACCCATTCTAACCGTGCTGTGCAGGATTAAGTTACTATTGCGGATTTTAATTTTCATTCTGCGCAACCACATATGATAAGTAAATATTCTTGTATAATCTTCTCGGTAATACAGAGATTCGGAAACAACTACACACCGCCTATATTAATAATATTCGGGCACATAACGCAAGGGTCGACAAAAATCCCCATATATTACGCCGATTGATAATGTGCATACAATTTTGTAGAGTGTTTGTACTTGCTTTACTTGGACATGACGAAAGTAGGGAATCACAAAATCCAGGTATATTTCGAGGTCTGATTGATTTTACAGCTGAGTTGGACTCTGCTTTATCAATCATTTGAAAGAAGCAACGCTCTTTAAAGAAACGCCTAAAACTGTTCAAAATGAAGTTTTAGATGCCATGAACGTAAAATTTTAACCGAATGCAAAAAGGTATGTGGAGAAATCCTTTTTTACTTTTATTGAATATATTTTTGTATTTATTTCCGTCACACAATTTCGTCTACTAATTGGTAATAACAACCTGTTTATATGTTCATATTTAACTCATCAATCAAATTGTGTCCCCCCATTTCAAAAGGTCACGAGCCGCCATTGCTTTCAAGTTACTCATTCTTTCGCGGTATAAGCCAAATCCACTAGGAGATATTTTCCAGAGAAGAATTTTTATTATTTAATTATGTTATACATTTTTATTGGTCTACGAAAAATAACAGCTTTAAAATAATCTTAGCTACCTGGAGTCAGTCTCCGTAATATATTATCCCTTTACATATTGATAAAGGCACCCAACTAAATTTATTGAAAAAATCCTTTCAAGAGGTGTTACTGAGGCCGCCACTGTATGTCATTAGAAAGCTAATTTCAATAAACTCCAATAGTTACAATGGCCGCTTTCTAATGAGAAAAAAGTTATGGCGACGCTTAGCGCTGTGATTGGCTATTACAGAATAGTGTGGGGGGTGCGAACGGGTTTTAATTCGCTCCTGCAGCTAATTTAATGGATATACTTGTGAATGATAAAGTGTAAAATACTTAGGTATATACACTTTGAAATGAGCTAATACATTAAAATAGTCTAACCTATTCCTAGTTTGCGGTCATCTGTAGGCATTCAGTCGTGTGGAAAGTATAGTTTTGGAAATTTCTTTCTACCCTACAAAATTTTATTGACAATAACGAGACGAGCAGTAGTACATACAACGGTAAGAAATATTTATGGTTCACACCAGTTCACCCGAATTTGTCGGAGAACATTTACCAGGTAGTTGTAGATACTCATAAAATAATGGTCATTTTCGTTCGTGAATAACGATGGTCCCCGTCCGCAGCCGGATTATTCTGCTTTCTAACATCTGTGGATTACCGGCATGCGACAACTTTAAGTTGTAAATATCTCTTGCTATTGTACTACTATCCGACTCGTTATTGCCAATAAAATTTTATAAGGTAGAATGAAATTTTCAAAACTATACAAGATGCATAGAAATGTAGTCGAGATATTTTTAAACGTTCTAATGATACCAACTTATATATATTTTGTATTCAGTTTTTGGTGATATTACATCATTACTGTACCACAACTTACCTCAAACTAATGAGTATTAGTCTTCAGACGGTAACTAAATCCTTAAACCTTTTTCAATATTATACGAAACTGCTACCTTAACAATTCAAAAATTAAATAAAAAGTTGATCGAAGGTTATTGAACTTCACTGTCCTCTAAAGTACCTACAACAAGACATATCGAACTTTTTGGAAAGATTACAAAATTTGATTTTGCGATTTGTTTTATGACAACTCCTATAATTTAAAATAAAGATATGTAAATGTAAAGAAGAGTGTTGCGTGTATGTTCCAAATGAATCCTTTTCAAAATTTGGTGATGATGTCATCAACATTTTTGCAAGGACGCGTTTATCAGTTTGAATAGGTGCAGTGTAATACTAATAATAATAGATAAATATTGTATTAAATTTGTAATTAAACGTGTCCATACTTTGACTTTATGGGGGGGGGGAGTTGAAAAAAAAAAACAGTTTACTACGCCGTTTTCAGCTTACAAAACTATACTAAGAAAATATAAAATAAGCGAGCATCCCATGGATTCGAAGCACAATTCTTTCTTAGCTTACGCTCGGGAAGTAAACTGGACTATTGTAGATCAATTTCTATATACAATAATATATTAGTTAATACCGTGAAATTAAAACGGCTGACGTAAGCCATTTGGCCTACCAAAGCAGAAATTTAGAAAATCACCTGAAATATTAACACAACACTGAGAGAGAACATCTGAAACCTCTAACAAAACATTGAAATAAAAAAACTACAGTTTCCTAAAATACGTTTTACATCAATCCAAATCACAAAAACACAACCGTATATACTATACATATAACTTCATAATACTGAAATCATCTATCTCTCAAGTAATAACAAAATAAGCATCTCTTTATTATCAAAAAAACTCAAATACAAATTCAAATAAACAGAACGTCATTTCCATGGCTCACCATGAGTACTTTTCATATGAATCCTTACCTGCCCTTTAGAAACAAACTTCTTGTTGCACAAATGACACTCAAACGGTTTCTCACCACTATGCCCTCTCTTATGTACCACTAAAGGTGTTCTTTGTGTAAAGCATTTGCCACATACATCACACTGGTACGGTTTTTCGCCCGTATGAATCCTCTCGTGATCTCGAAGAACAACCTGACGACGAAAACTTTTTCCACACATAAAGCAAACAAAAGGCCTACTGTTGGTATGAATTCTCATGTGTAAACGCAAATTATCTTTTGACGAAAATTCCTTGCCGCAAATTTCACACAAAACACGTTTCGCTACTTTTTTGACTTTGGGTTTTTTGGAATCGTCGTCACTGAATTCGTCGAAAGTATCAGGTGAGTAGACGCTGTCGCTTTCGCTGGAGTTTTGTGACTCGCTACTAGAATCTTCCAGGGTAGCGGTGCGTTTATCGTGTGAGTTCTTGTTACGAGTGTGCCAGCTTCTATGGCTTCGAAGACTTCTTTTAGAAGGGTAGTATTTTCCGCATTTGGAACAATGCCATGGCGTTTCACTCTTAACTTTGACTAATTCGTCCCAACGTGACCTACAAAATTAAAAGTCAGCGGAATTTTTTACATAACTTATACCTACCTACATTAAAGTACAGAGTGAAGACACATAGATATATGTAATTGTATCTGAGAAACTACACGTTCTAGGTAAAAACTGACTTTGGTCTAAACTTTATTAACAATAATATGAAAATAACAATCCAACTTAGTGTACAGAAATATGCGGACACGTTTTTAAACGTACTCAAGTTAGCAGCTAGACGTGTGCCCACGATATCCCACACATCTTCGATTGGTGACAAATCTGATGAACGAGCAGGCCAGGGGAGAACTTCAACGCACCCATCCAATCGTTTGCAGTTGCGCGAGTGGCAGAACGTCTGTCTCGTAGGGCAGCAATTCGTAGATGACCTCCTCCAACATTGTAACACCGTTGAAAGACTGCGGCCTATACGGCCTTTTTCAAACTCACTCAGTTGATGAAAATGAACCGACTCACGACGTCTTGGCATTTTTCACTTTGTTTTCTACGCGATAGCCCTAAAATTTTCTATACAACTCACGCAAATCAACTAGCAAAGCAAAATTCTGCTAGACGAAACGTTGGTTTCAAAAGATAAAAAGGGTAACATAACGTTAATGGTTTTTGTTGAAATTTTAATCATTTCTTGCATGACTGTCCCCATATCGGATCCGATAATATGAACAAAATGGCTCAACTCCTGCGAGGTGTTCGGATTTTTATAGAAATCAGTATATATGGTTGAATGGTACAAATATGATGTCAAAAATCAAAAAGCGCTGTTAACCGTTATGGAAAGGTCAAAACGGTCTGTTGTAGTTACGGCGGGGAAATTTGTTGACTTGTCTTTAATACCATTTACAACAGTAAGTCATCTTTAATCTGTTTGTGTTATACGTAAGCATATTTTTTACGTGTTTTTTAACATTTTGAGGAGGCCCTACTTACTTTCTGTTGGCAGTGCTAAAAAATTATCAGTAACTGAAAAATTTCCAGTGAAATCCAAGTTTAGTGAAATAAAAGTCACGATAAAATTTTCAGAAGAAGATAGAGTTTTTTAGAAGTTGTGTAAAATAACATGCAGAACTAGTAACAACGGTCACAGCTGTAGTGTTTAAAATATCTTTCTGTGTTCCAGTTTAACTAACTTTGGTCTACAAATATCCTGAAAGGCTAATACTAGTAATATTTTTAAATTTGTACGAGCAGACACCTTTCTGTGGATACCGAAAGTTGTTACACTTGAACAACATCAAATAAACATGTTTACCGATTTCTGTCTATTAAATGCCTGTTTACATTTACAAAAGTTGGCTGGTAGAAAAGCCATAACTGTATCTTGTATGTAAAATCGGTAGGGTAATATATTACCCGTCGTCTTCGTTGATTACATTTTTTTTGCCTTTTTGTTTTAATACGTGTAGACTTGTCTTCACAACATGAAACTTAAAACATGTATAAAAAGAAAAATTTGTATAAGGAAATATCGATTTTGCAATTAGGCTCCGCCCCATAATGGCAAAATCCATATTTCCTTGCAAAAATGTACCATTTTAACCATGTTTTAAGTTTCTTGTTGTGAAAATATGCTATATATATTAAGAAAAAAAAGGCAAAATATAAATACAAGAATATTTAGAAAAAAATAAGCCAAAAATTAAACCCCACCTATGTCCATCCCAAGCTCAATTGTGATGAATTTTTCATTGGGTGTCAGACCGAGAGGCGGAGCCTAATTGCAAAATCGATATTTTCCTAGAAAAATTTATCATTTTAAAACATGTTTTATCTCTCTTGTTATTAAGAAAAAAGGCAAAATGTAGCCCCACCTACTCGCGCTATCTCAATTGTGATGATTTGTTTTTATTCGTCGTACGCCTAGGGGCAGAGCTTAAGTGCAAAACCTTATTTGTCTACGCGAAATTAAAAACATGTTTTTGAGTATCGTGTTGTTCAAAGAATGCTATGAATATTAAGAAAAAAATAAAACTAAAGCCATACCCACCCCGATCTCAATTCTCCATTGTGATGAATTTTTCATTCGTTGTCACATCGAGAGGCGGGGCTTAATTGCAAGATCCATATTTATCCACAAGTATTTACCATTTTAAACATGTTTAAAGTTTCGTGTTTTGAAAAGACGACTACGTATATTAAGAAAAAAGGTAAAATATAAGCCCGGCCCACCCGCCCTATCTCACTTGTGATGATTTGTTTTTAATCGTCGAGAGCCAAAGGAGCGGAATTTAATTACAAAATTCTTATAATTACTCTACAAGAAATTACCATGTAAGACATGTTTTTGGGTATCGCATTATTCAAAGAATACTATGTAAATATATTAAGAAAAAATTAAAACCAAAGATTAAGCTCCACCCATTCCTGTCCTGATCTAAATAGTAATGAAGTTTTCATTCGTTGGCAGACCTAGGGGCGGAGCCTAATTGCAAAATCAAGTTTTCGTGCTATATGTATTTAAGTAATAGAGTCATTCAAAGAAAAAGCAATTTAGATTCAACAAACGTTTTCTTTTAAAAAATCTGGGCCCAATTTCAGTACAATAACAAAAAGACAACTGGATAAACTATCTACAAATTCCTCTGGGACAAAGAATTTGGGATAAAATTTGCAAGACCGAAGTATCTTTTACGTAGACTCGTTTATTTCAGAAGGAAGAATAGTTTGTTATACCTGAAAACACAAAAAAATCGCAATCTTTAATCTTCTTAAAAATTCAAGGACAAAAATCGTAGTCTTGAGAAGATTCAAAGAAAACTATTTTAAAGATATAATAACAAGGAGTTTACTCATTTTTATTATCTCTTTCAGGATTTCATGTAAAATTCTTGAGTAGTTATTTTATTTACTCTCCTTATATACTTGCTGCACACAATATAATAAATTTATTTTAAAAAATTTGTTATTTTATACACAGGGTGAATTAGAAAAAAAATTCTGAGGTGGACACCAATAAATCCCATTTTTTTGAAAAATTATAAAATTTGATTCTGAGACTTCAGTGTAATACCAATACAATAACAGTATCTTATTGTCACATTATTATTATTGTGGAACTGCTGTTTTTGATTTGACGGGCAAAAAAAGTTGGAAGTGCTGGGATTCGTACCCGAGACTTCCGATTGCAATTCACACTCCACCTCCACTGAGCCACTAGCCACGCTTGCGCAGTCATGTATTATGTGGCGAAAAAAAAAACAATAATTATAATAATAATACGCAGAAGCAGGAGGATTCATAAAATACAAGTGTGGGAGTAACAATATTTTATGAAATTCAAGTTATATTTATTGGAGAAAATTTTGAGGGGATGTCATCACGTTGTTGGTGGGAATTATTAGCGTTTTACCATCTACCATGATATTCCTAATATAAATACAAAATTTGAGAACAATCGGCCCAGTACTTTCGAAGATTATGTCTCTAAAAAAATCCGGACCGACGGCAGACAGGCAGACAGATGGAAACGGAAGACCTATTTCTTCGTACTCTAGGGATCATGATAGGTCGAGAAAACATAAAAGTAGATACACTTTTATACAAAAATACAATGTCCTGTATTTTAGTATCCCAGGCAACATAAACTATAATAATTAAATATATAACAAAAATCTAACAAAATTATATGTTGTAGCTACTTTATTTTTATGTTTATGTTACCTAGTAAAATTAACAAGGTTTGCATGACGTTACAAAACAATGTTGTATCACCGTAATGTTATATTGCCGTTATGTAAGAAAATTATAACAATATTATTTGTTGCAATTTAAGAGTGTTATAGTGCATGACTTAAGGCTGGCGTCTGATTCGGTTTAGCCCTATACTAAATACATTGAAAACATCGTCCCGGTTTCCGGAGTTGCATTTTAAAAATATCGCTTTAAAAAAATTATATTTCGAATTAACAAACTTCAGTCCAGGGGACCTCCATATTTATATTCATATCTAGTATGCAGTTTTTGCAAAAAAAAATTATAAAGTTGAACAACTTTTACATCACATTTTACCCGGCACATTGATACATTTTTTGACGAAGTGCTGAAGTTTTTTGCATTCTGAGATAGGAGGTCCCCTGGGGAAAAGTGTCAGCTTTCTTTTGATACCATTTATAATATTAAAAAATCCACGACTGAGGTAAATAACTCGCGAAAAGTCAAAATCTATTGAAACGAAAAATCGGCATTAAACGAGCTGTGATGCGGCAGCAGAATGCAGGTTTACTTAGATTCTGACTTGGTTGGAGATTTCAGTATTTTAAAAAGACAATTCCGGAAACTACGACGATGTTTTCAATGTATTTAGTATTGGGCGAAACCGAACCAGACGCCACCCTTAATTTGTCAATGAATTGTGAACGAATATGAAAATGTTTTCGCCCACCTTCGAAAATTACCAACCTAAAGAAATTTCTTTCGGCCTTATTTCTTCGAAAACTCCTACCATTTTTCAAGAACTGCCCAAAAAAATGCGGCAAATTTTGAATTTAAAAAAAAATATATTTTCAAAGGCAATAATTCTAAAATTTTACGCCTGAACCACAAATACGCTATATTTTTCAAATTAGCACGTTGTGGATTTTTAGGCAACGTTTTCGATTTTTCGATAATCCCCTTTTCGAAAATGTCGACCTTTTCTCGACCACTTTCGAGAATTACCTAAACAGCATTTTTTTTAGATTCGACTTCACTTCTTCGAAAACTCCCCACCATTTTTCTAGAATCGTCCAATGAAAAATGGAATTTTTAAAATTAAAAAAAATTTTTGAAGCGAATGTATCCAAAATTTTATTCCGCACACACAAACACACTATATTTTTCGAATCAGTGCGTCGAGATCTATACGTAAAATTTTTTGTGGGTTTTTAGGCAATTTATCAAAATTCAAATTTTCGGTACCTCCCCTCTTGAAAATTCCGACACCTTCCATCGATCATCTACGAAAATTCGTCCTCAATTCTTCGAAAACTACTACCCTTTTTCCAGAATCGTGCAATGAAATATGGACTTTTTAGGACTAAAATTATTATTATTTTTAAAATCTTACTCCGGGAGTATACCATTACTTAAGCACTGCAGTGTTATGTAATACTTAAGTTAAAAGTTAACACTGTGATGATAACTTTATCTTGTAGTTATATAAGAAAAATATAGGCAAATTTGTACGTGCTATATAACACACGGTATACAAATAATGCAGAATGCATCTATATATTAAAAATTAACATAGTTTTAAATTTTCATCAAAATTCATCTATCTAATGTGTCAGATACCTGTTGCAAATCCACCTAGTTTCTATCCGCAAAGAAAAAAATTTAAATTTAAGTGAAAAACGAAAATTACCACATGGTAATTCGTATAGTTAAATAACAGTACATTCTAGCAACGTATTAGCTAATCTATGTTTTAATTCGTCGGACTTCTGTGTTGTGCAACGAGTCATTGCGGACATGATTCTATATTATATTCTATAT